CCAAGGTACTGCGGCCAGAAGCACTCTTCGCCCCAGACTTGCCAAGCTGGAAACAGGCGAGCCCGCAATAAAGCTTCGCGTAGGTCAAACCACTATGCTCATCAAGATAGTAGACGCCCATACCTACCTGGGAGCTAGAGTTGCATACCAGAACCATGAAGCTCTCAACCTGCAGCACCGACTGCACCTTGGCTGGCAGGCCTACTGGCGACTGGCCAAGGTCCTCCGCTGTCGAGCACTGACCCTAGACAGCAAACTCCGCGTCTGGAAGACATGTGTCTACCCGGTCGTCCTTTACTCCCTGGAGGCCACAGGCATCACCTACCACTCCCGCACCCTCCTCTCTCAGTTCGTCCACGCTCAGCTCCGCCTCATCCATAAATTACCGGGCCACATCACCAAAGTTACCTCCCACGACCTACTCCTCAGAAGCCAACTCGACCCGCCAGGCGACACCCTTGACCAGCGGATCCATCCAACAAGCCCCGGAGTTTCCAACTGCGGCGCAGGAAACCTGGTTCGATCTGCTGCAGGACTACTCGACGACGCCTGCTGTCTCTGCATCCGACCCCTCTGCCTCTATGACCCCTTCTCGGGGAGGCTCTACTCGCGCCCACCTCAAGCCCATCAGCAGCGTTCTCAGCTATCGGCCACTCAACTGCCCAATCTGCGGAGTTGGCTATAGCACCCTTCAGGCCGTCCGTCTCCACATGCGGAAGTCCCATCACACTCAAGTACGACAGGCACCTGCCTCCTCGGACTTGCGCCCAGCTCCTGCTCAGGCTCCGGACCCAGATCACGCCTCCTCTACTCCAGCCGTCATGATGGACCCAGATGCTACCACGGCCCAGGCCTCGCTACCTGACTTCGCGGCAGATGAACATGCTCTGTTTGTTTGGCAGCATGGTCGAGAAGGTCTCCCACAGTGTCGACACTGCCTCCGACAGTGTGATTCGTGGCATAACTTACGAATACACATCTCCACCAAATCCTGCCGAACTTTGGTCCCAGACGGCTTTAACGCCCTACCCCCAAAACACAATCTCAACCCGACTCCACTGTACCACAGGCCTGAATGTCAGCTTTACCCAGTCGGAAGTTGGGAAAGGCTCGCCTCCTGGCTGAAAAAGATGCTCCCTCAGGCAGTCCATCACTGCCCGTACTGTCACCAGTGGCTGACCCAAGCGCGTGGCCTACGAGCTCATATTAAAGCCAAACACTCCCCAATGATCCCTTGCTGTGAAGAGGCAGTCCAGCGCATGCAATCCCACCGCAGGCTTTTGGCCCTTGGTAGCACCTGTCGCTACTGCAGCCTTTCCCTAACAGGAGCGCCCATCAAGCACGCCACTGAGTGCGCAGTCCTGTTTCTGGTTCATTTGCTACAGGCCACGCATGCGCTACATCATTCGAACCACCTGCCTCAGGTCCGCGATGACTCCCCTCGATGTTCAATGCGCACCAAGTGAGCCCGGAAGACCTGGAAGAAGCCACTCAGGAGCTCAAGAGCATCGAAGCGCAGGTCCGGCTGATACCCAAGCAGCCCCAGCCCCTGATGGCCCCAACGACACTGATGAGCGAACCCCCACCTCAGGGAGGCATGCCGGACTCCTCGAATCCCCCATCGACGGAAGTCCCCGACAGACCTTCCAAATGGCAGAGGGACAACAGCAAAGGAGCCACCCAACCAGGCAAGGGAAAGGGCTCAACAGGCCGAGGAGCCCAGGGCCAACAGAACCCTGCCAACCGCCCTCCACCTCAGGGAGGCCCGCCAAGACGTCAAGGAGGTCGCCCCTCCGGATACCACCCCCAACCCCCGTGGCAGCGACAAGGACAGGGATACGGGCCTTCTTCAGGTCCCGACCTCACTCTCATGTGCCACACCATGGCCAGACTCCTCATGAGACACGAGGACGCTCTCTCAGTCCTCCAGCAATCCACCACCTGGATCCTCTTCCTCACGACTCAGCCCCCGGGCACTGTCCTCCCCAAGCTGTTCGCCACAGCCCAAGGATGGCACGAGCTGCGGTGGAACGACCCGGAATCCATCACCCATCCGATGCGCATCATTCTGTGGCAGAAACTGATGCTCGAGCTGTCTCAGCGTGCCCAGAAGGTCATCGACCAGGAGGATGCCCGAGAACAGGCGATTCAAATGGAGCTCTACAACCCGACCACGGGGTTCGGCTACCGCAAATGGAACAACAAGGAGGGTGTGATGCAGCCCATTCCCGATCGCGAACCGCTCACGGCACAGAAAGTGGTGGAGATTGCCAAGGAGCTAGCGACGCTGAGTGTCCAACCGCAACTGCTCAACAGGTTCCATGCCACTCGCCAGCTGGAGGAGAAAATGGAAGGCAGCACAGTGACCTGGCTATTGGAAGTGGGCTGGAGGGGAGAGCACACGGCTCGCTTCTGGGAGCTGCTCCAGCTCCTTTCACACAATTCCTCTCTTCTGATGATCGGTTGCACCCTTCGTCCGGATCGCCTCCAGCGATCAGCCTTGGCCCAACAGCTGCAGACCCTCCTCCAGTCCATGCACATCCCTATGCCGAGACAGCCGCCGAGACCTCAGCCCTGCTCCCGACATTGCAACTCCGCAATCCTTCCAACTACTGTTACTCCCATGCCTGCCTTTTTATCTATCTTTGGCTTGTGTCCCAAACCCCCTCCTCCTTTCAGGTACTGGACAGGGAACCGTTGAGGAGCTTCATCGCCCAGGCGCGCAAACAACAACCAGTGACACTCTGGTCGCTCCTCCCGTGGAGGCAGGCAATGCGACGCTGGTCCAACCCAGCCAGGCAACATGATGCAGCGGACTTCCTCCTCCACTTACACCAAGTCCTCAATGCGCCCTGCTTCCAGGGCCTCTGGCAGTCCTTTGACGACAGCCACATGCTTCAAGATGAAGGCGGGGTCTGCCCACTCATACTTTCAGGAATGCAAGATGCCTCTGCCACAATTGCCACCACTGCCCAGTCCTGCATCAATCGCTGGCATTCGCAGAAACGTCGCCACGCCCTGATTGCAGGTACTGAAGCTGTGGCTGTACAGCTCAACCGCTTTCGCAATGAACAGGGCATTGCATCCAAACGTGACCATCGCATAGATGCTGATCCAGAAGTCCTTTTCCCACAATGGACTCCCTCTTCCCCTGAAGGTATCATTTGGAGAACGTATCAGCTTCAGGCGATTGTCCAGCATATCGGACCGACCACGGTCAGTGGGCATTACCGTGCTGCACTCAAACCTCGTTCCGGAACTGCCGGCCCTTGGCACCACACTGAAGACAACAGTGCTGCACAATCAGTCCTCCCTGCTGCCTTGTCCCAAACAAGTTATATCCTCATTTACCGGATGAGGAGTGCTGCAACTTCCATCTAGGCCCTTCGGGGCAGTCTAGCTCTGTAGCTAGGTGAGTCGATCCAATCGAGATCGAGCGCCACAGTGCGCCGGGTGACCCCGCTCGAGTCATCGCAATGCGACCTCACCGTCCGCAGCGAGTGTGATGATACGACTACGACTACGACTACGACTCCTACTCCTACTCCTACTCCTACTCCTACTACTACTACTACTACTACTACTACTACTACTACCACGACTACGGCTCCCACTACCACTACCACTGCCACTGCCACTGCCACTGCCACTGCCACTGCCACTGCCACTGCGACTACTACTACTACTACTACTCCTACTACTACTACTACTACTACTACTACTACGACTATTACTACTCCTACTACTACTACTACTACTACTACTACTACTACTACTCCTACTACTACTACTACTACTACTATTACTACTACTCCTACTACTTACTACTACTACTACTACTACTACTACTACTACTACTACTACTACTACTACTACTACTACTACGACTATTACTACTCCTACTACTACTACTACTACTACTACTACTGCTACTACTACTACTACTACTACTACTACTACGACTACGGCTGCTACTACCACTACCACTACCACTACCACTACCACTACCACTCTGCTACTACTACTACTACTACTACTACTACTACTACTACTACTACTACTGGCCACACGAAGGCTAGGCCCTGGCTTGGAAGAATAAGAGACATCGGCTTCGCGACTTCCTAAACAAGCGCTAAGAGGGGTACAGAGCATCCAGGTCTTGGAGACTTCAGGGTGAGTGGTCTTTAGGGCTTAGGGTTCCCTAAACCCTAAACCCTACATCAGGCTTCTTGGAAGCTCTGGGCTGTCGTGCTTGCTTTTCCGATTCATTTTTTGGTGGAATTTGCGGCAGTCACATGTCAAGACCTTCCTGTGCCCTGAAATGATGCAAGCTGAAGCAGCAGGCAAGGAAGCCAATATAAGGACTTACAGTCTACTCAGATAGATGAGTTCATCCCTGAGATACAAGAGTCGGAAACATCCCCTCAAAGTCCCATGCCAGCTTAGCCATCGTAGGCTTTGCCCGAAAGCCTTTCGGATGCTTATTGCGCCTGCCCCTCCGAAATCCGAAAAAGCCAACATGCTGCCCAGAGTCTTTCTTTCGAGTATGCTGCTCCTACCACGCTGTGAAGCTTGCAAACAAGTTCACGAAGGCCATGGTTTCAAGCATGGATGTCACTATCCTTAGCAGTGCTTTTGCTTGTAGGTTAGGGCAATATCATACTATATGACTTGACTACGGGTAATGTACTATCAACTTGTCTTATTGCTTCTTCATTTTTGCAAAACTTGCAGTTACTGCTTTCGGTCATTCTCACTGTCACTATCTTTATTCGGGAGGGCGTTTAAAGGAGCTGAGGTTGAGGTTGCAGCGGTTTTCGGCGCCAGGGACCGGGATTTACCTGGGGTTCGCAAACTGACCACACAGTCAGCACGACCTAATCGGAGCCAGCCCTTCTCAGCACCCTCATCTGAAACAGCACTAAACCCAATGCCTGAAGAACCCGAATACAACACGTGGTGCCATTGAAGCAGAGGCCACCCTCCACCACTCCCGGCTTTTAAAACCCTGTTGCAGTGTCCCGCCACAAGGAATTTCGCAGCCAGAGGGTTTGCAGCGCCCTTGGCTGTGCTCATTTCACTAGTCTTCCTTCTACGCATAGCACACCCAAAACAGGTGATAGACGAAGCTTGGCAACTTCATTCAGTAGAATCCGAAACCCACCCCTGACAAACAAAGCCCAACCCCAACGCGCAATATCTGCATCCAAGTAACATCGCGGGCCACGTCAACGCACCCTTTCTCAGCGCCGAAGACGTCCAGACTGACGGGTGGCGGGCTATACAGTCTGTCGAATGCCTCTGGTGAAAAGTAGACCCCTGAGTGTTACGCACACACCCATTCCTGCAGCCCCAACGAGTCTATGTCGAGCGCCTTCGCCATGTTTAGTTCAAGGTTGATGCAACATACGAGATTGAAAACCAAAAACATAACTATCATGGAAACTTACAAACTATTTAATACTAGTTCCTAATCGTTCACAATATCAGGTCAAGGATGCAAGGCTTTGGAGTTGAAGCCTATCTCAGACTTTCCTAAACGGGTTCTGTGGTGGTCCCTTTTAGGGTCTTTGGGGTTCGCAAAGGTGCTTTATAAGGGAATTTCCCGAAGATAGGGGACCCAAATATAGTGTCTTAAATCATAGCATCCTTAAAAAGGGACCTCAAATTAAGGTAACCCCCCCCCACCCCCCCCCCATTTTCGGCAACTCCCACATGGCTTCTGCAGTGCTTGTTTAAAGCTTCGGACACCAACTCGCCAGCCTTCTGCGGGTGATTGCGCAGAAAGCCTACATTGAGATCTCAGATGCAGAAACCTTCTACACACGGGCCTGAATAATTAGAATAGGGTTTTGGGGCCCATTTTTCTATTCAAACTAGTATTGGTAATTATTTAGGCCCGTATATTAACCATTTGCAGCGTAAGCTGCATGGCGAGTGAAAGCTCAAGGGCTGTCGTCTTAGCACTGCGGCCGCGGCCATCCCAGCTCGGCCACAACACGTGGCCGCACGATCATGTGTCACTGACTGCTTAAAGGATCATGAGACTTAGCAACTGGGGTTATAATTAGGGTAAGTATACGTATAACTACTGATAGCCACAATTAAGGTGCTATAACCTTACTTACTAAGTCCCATGATCTTCCAAGCAAAACACGTGGCCGTGCGATCATGTGTCACTGACTGCTCCAACTCCGTTCTCCAAGGATCACTCTCCGGGAGAGCTGTGCATGTAGCCAGGACCCCCAGAAGAACCGGAAGAGGAGACCAGCGCACCGATTGCGGAAGTGGCTTCGCACAGTGCGATGCCTCCCTCCGTCCACATCGGGCAGTTTTTGTGGCCACCTTGCACGGCCTCATATAACTAGAAACTACAATCATAATAAGGACCCCCAAAATAGTATAGGCAATCATAATAAGGACCACCAAAATAGTAGAGGTAATTATAATAAGGACCCCCAAAATAGTATAGGTAATCATAATAAGGACCCCCAAAATAGTAGAGGTAATTATAATAAGGACCCCCAAAATAGTATAGGTGATCATAATAAGGACCCCCAAAATAGTATAGGTAATCATAATAAGGACCCCCAAAATAGTATAGGTTATCATAATAAGGACCCCCAAAATAGTAGAGGTAATTATAATAAGGACCCCCAAAATAGTATAGGTTATCATAATAAGGACCCCCAAAATAGTATAGGTAATCATAATAAGGACCCCCAAAATAGTATAGGTAATTATTTAGGCCCCTAGAGGTGAGCTTGGCCTGGCTTGGCGGCTTTCTGCATGGATGCTGGCTGCTTTGCAGACTGAAACCCAGTGGTACTAGGAGGCATCCACGACAGGATGCTGTATAGCGAAAAACCTTACATACCGTAAATACAGTAAATACATTAAATAGACCGTACAAAAACTCTTGAAAAAACAGTTAAACTTGAACCTGTAGAACTCTTGAAAAAACTTAAGCTTGAACCTGCAGAACCCTGTAGAAATCCCCTAGAGGCGCCCCCCTCACGACCATTTACCATACCCCACGGCCCCGCCTGAGGGGTCTTTCGACTTCTCCGTGCTCGCCTGAAATGCCCACAAGATTGCTTAGGGTGTTACGTTACCATCGAAACTCCGCAGGGTGCGGGTCGTGATAAGTCCCGTAATATGGGCTAACTGTAGCTACCCTCCTTGTAACCCCGGTATAACTACCTATGAACCTCACAGTACGGGTTCAGGGATGAAGTAAAGCAGAGATTGAAATGAAAGTGCTTGCGGAACCCTGTCCGTGCCTTTGACGGGTGACTACGAGGAATACCAAAGGGGGTTTGGAGCAAGTCGACTAGGGCGTACGGAGTGAGTTATACGATAATGCTTGGTGGGCTGGGGGTTGAAGAAGTGCTTCGGGCTTCGTAAAGGCCTAGCACGCTGTTCGCCTCTCATGAGTTGCAGCTAGTAGCTGGTGGAGAGGATTCGAGCTTTGATTAACAGTTCAGAAGTGAAAACAAACCCTATACAAACCATCAACTAAACCCCAAACCCCCTCAACAGAAACTTCGAAACCACGCCTGACACTCAATCTTGAACGCTGGGTCCTTGCAGAACATTATTTAGGGGCCTTTAACATTAGAACAGGGTTTTGGGGCCCAGTATACTATACTTTAGAAGGGGCCCCCACCCTGTAATAGTGACTATAAGGATTATATAGGATTATATTAGGGCCCTATTATATTCCTATTACACCACTATTACAGGGCAGCTTCTAAACTCTACTCATCATAAGGAACCCCCCCAAAATGGATTATCTCCTCCCCTTGACCTTAGCCTGGCACCGGCGTGCCGACAGAAGCCGGAAACAGAAAACCTCTGGTTCTTTGGAATGTCAGCCCTTTAAGGTAGAAGCCAGAAAGTTGGAATATGAATATCCTGAACCCTTTAAGGTAAATTATAGGGTATCCTACCCTGAAACCATATTCCAACTTTCTGGAGTTCCCTTTACACCCTGAATAAACCCCGGGGCCCTAGATCCCAACCCCCCATGAACTCCTAAGCCGGAAAGGAAGGGTTTAGAGTTTAGGGGTTTAGGGTTTAGGGTTTAGGGCTTAGGGTTTAGGGTTTAGGGTTTAGGGTTTAGGCGGTTTAGGGTTTAGGGTTTAGGGTTTAGGGTTTAAGGCTTCATACATAGAATGAGGTTCTTGTGTACATTGTGCTATGACTAGAATGAGCAACCCCCGAAATAGTATTGGTAATCATCTGGGAGTCTCCGAAAATAGGGGACCCAAATATAGTACCCTACATAGTAGGATCCTTACTTCAGGACCCCATTCGCCTGGTACCCACAAATTTTCGGAAACTCCCAAACCCTAAACCCTAAACCTACAGATCCCGTTTGGAACCCCCTTTAGATCCCTTTACAAGTACCCTCCATATAAGCCTCTTTGCTTAATTGTCGGAAACTCTAAACCCTTCAAGAGCCCTTTAATATTTAAGGGAACCCTGATATTACCCCTATAGCAACCTCTAGGTAACCACAAAAAGCCTCTTTGCTCTGAGCAGCCCCGTCCCGAACGCTTAACCCTAAACCCTATAAATCCCTTTCAGGAACCCTTAAAGGAACCCTTATAGATCCCTATAAAGGTACCCCCCCATATTAAGCCTCTTTTCTATGAAACGCCCCAAGCCCGATCCCGCTCCCAAACACCACGCCGGAGCCACGCTTTCGTGCGCGCCTGGGTTGGGGTCTTCGGTTCGGTGGGTCTAGGATTTAGGATTTAAGGGCTAAGGGTTTAGGGTTTAGGATTTCGGGCTGAGGGCTTAGGCTTTAGGGCTTAGGGTTCAGGATTTCGAGCTTAGGATTTAGGGTTTAGGGTCTTCGGCTCTGTCGTCGGGCTTCGACCCCTGATGGTTCTTGTGATGAGTGCGGGAGATGGTTACGACCGCGCTGTGGTTGGTGATGATGAGGATGAGGAACAGCCTGGAAATAATGGTGCGTTGATGATGCTAACTTATCAAATTATAACTATCATGATGATGAGATTGATGACGAGAATGGAAAGTCATAACCAAACTGCCATCACGATGACGGTAAGGATGTTGATGCGAAGGTGCTGAGTGCCGAGGACTTGGGCTTTAATCTCGAAAATCTAAATGAAATGTCGCGCTTCGGGTTCAAAGCTTTCGGTTTCCACCACCTCCAAGGGAACAACAAATTTGATGATGTGTGGACTCCGAACACACCAACACACCAAAGCTGGTGGATCCTTAGAGCCATGAATCCTAAAGCCTAGTTTCGAAGCCCCAGAGACTCGTAGATGGACCTCCGACCTTCAACGCAGCTCGGCCTTAATCCTCAAGTCTTCAACCTCCAAGGAAAAAGACCACACCCTTAAAGCTTCAACCTACCTTTGGTTTGTAGGGAATGGAAGAATGGTAGTAATAGTAGCTACAATTGTACCCCATTCCTTCATTCCCTACTAACCAAAGGAAAGTAAAGCCAAACCTAACGCCCAAGCTCCAGGTCCCTAAAGTTGCCGTAGTCTCGCAAACCCTAAACCCAAGGCCAAACCCTATGCACCCCAAACCTTTAGCCCGAAACCCTAACCAGCTGTCTGGTGCTCAGTGGGGAACGGGGGAATGGATCCCTATAGCAGTCCGTATATAATCCCAATTTAATTGTCCCCCATAGTCCATTTCCCATGCCCTACTAAGACCCAAACAGCCTCTTATAGGAACCCTTACAGGAACCCTTATAAACCCTAACCCTAAACCCTACGCACCCCTTAAACCCCTAAACCCTAACCAACGCTCTTCGTCTGGTGCACTGATGGCTTTCCGCACTCGCACCGCCAGCTCGTTTTGAACCAGCTCCACAGCCTCCTGCAAGAGTGTTGGCGCTTCTTTCGTCTTTTAAGGTGTAGGGCTTAGGGGTTTAAGGTTTAGGGTTTTATGGTTTTAAAATTGTAAAATCGTCAAAAGGCTGGTTTTTATGTAGACTTTATGGCGGTCTATGGGATTTTTTTGCAAACTCAATCTGCAAGGACTTCGATGGCCGAAATCAATTACAACACCGTCGTGACAACAGCTGCCTCTACCATCGCCATATGTCTGTTCCAGCCGCGCAGATGCCCGGACTCGGCATGCGGCTGTGGAATTTCAACGACAGCATTCACAGCGTTGACAGCGGTAAACTCCATTGTCAAAAATACGATTTTTACTATTACTACTACTACTACTACTACTACTACTACTACTACTACTGCTACTACTACTACTACTACTACTACTACTACTACGACTACTACTACTACTACTACTACTACTACTACTACTACTACTACTACGACTACGACTACTACTACTACTACTACTACTACTACTGCTACTACTACTACTACTACTACTACTACTACTACTACTACTACTACTACTAATTACTACTACTACCACTACTGCTGTTATTGTTGCTATTGTTTGTTACTCTTGTTCTTGGACCTCCCAAGCCTTCCCTTCAAGCGACAGGCGGCAGCCCGAACCCCCAGGGTCCTGTTGAGGCTGGCGCGCGGCACTCAACCATCGCCTCTTCAGAATGCAGTTTAGGTTTGAGGGTTTAGGGCTTAGGGGTTTAGGGTTTTAGGCGTTTAGGGTTTAGGGTTTAGGGGTTTACGCGTTTAGGGGTTTAGGCTTGAGGGTTCAGGGGTTTAGGCGTTTAGATTTTTTTTGTTTTGGGGTGTAGGGTTTTGCGGGGTTAGGTAACGGTTAATTCGTTTAGGGGTTTGGGGTTTAGGGCGCTTTCTCGTCGGATGCGGTACCAAATTGGAGGTTTCAAAGCACAGAGTCCCGGCCGTCGCATCGACCACCTAGAGCCAAAGGCTCAGGCTGCCCACAGAAGGGATCCGCATCATGATTTGAATCCATGGTGGGCAGGATTGAAAAGGAGCTGATGACCATTGAAGCTGAAGCTGAATGCGGAAGTCCACCGGTCCAGCTTTGACTTCACTAGGATACCGAGTAACCTAAGAATAAAAAGGCCTCTCTTTGTGGTATTGGGTAACTTTATAAGGAACCTAGGACTACAAAAAGGGAATAAGGGTACTACTGGGCATCCTAGTTCAAGATCCCCACAGCTTATGCACAGGATCTGCGACTAGGCGAAGAGCAGCACCATCGTCAATGAATCACCGCTTCGCCATGCGGAACACCTCCTTCTCCAGGAGCTTCCACTCCCAAGACAACTTGGAGGATCATGGGACTTAGTAAGTAAGGTTATAAGTACCTTAATTCGTGTTACAAGTATAGTTACCCTACTTATAACCCTAGTTTACTAAGTCCCGTGATCCTGTAAGAAGGTGAGATTGAGGTGTTGCCGCTCTGAAATGTGTCAGCTCGCAAAATGTGCCGGGGACCTTCAGACAGGCGCTCTTCGTCTCTGTCAGACATCGGTCGGTGACTTTCCAGACGGGGCCGCAAAATCCTGAGACCCTAAACCCCTAGACCCTAAACCCTAAATCCTGAGAGAAAGTGAGAAGATGGGGACGATCTGCCTTCTTGCTGCCAGACCTGGGCGCCAGAAAGACAAAGGACTTCCTGCATTGTGGGAAACACACACACACACACACACTGCAACTCCCCGGTTACTTGCAGAATACCATGCGAAATGAATCCACGATGAAGAACCCTTTTAACCTCAATTCTGAACTCAAACAGCGAATTTCCTCGCAAGGCACCAAGAACCCAAAGCCCTCCTTCAAGAGAAGGGACATGACCCCCCCCCTCCTCTATTCTTTGGTCCCCCCAAAGCTCTGAACCGCAAACTACCCTAAACCCTGAACCCTAAAAACCCCCCTCAACCCTAAAAAGCCCTAAACTCTAGACTCTCGGCTCCAGAAGCACCCTAAACCCTCTACCCTAAACCCTAAACCCTTGAGCCCTAAACCCTCAACCCGCCTCGTGAAGTGCGATCTTCGTAGCCTGGGAGACATGGAAGCCAGGAGCCTCCAGCAGTAACAGCACCTGAAAGCTCAGGGTTTAGGGATTAAAGTTTAGGGGAAAGCTCGGCTGAGGCTTCGGAACTCGGACAAACCAAGAGCGATGACATCGGGTTTAGGGGTTTGGTGGTTTAGGGCTTTAGGGCTTCAGGGGCTTAGGGGTTTGGGGCTTTAGGCATTTAGGGCTTCAGGGGTTTAGGGCTTTGGGGTTGCCCACTGCAAAAAATGCCGTTGCCGAGATGCCATGCATACTCTTCCGCCGAAGACCATGCGAACGGGTCCACCTATGTCAACTTCGAGAGGGGACTTGGAGTCTTGAAGCTATCTTGCACGTCGAGGAGGTTTTCGGATTTTGTTCGGGCAATGGATTGTTGATGTTCAACGCGAACAAGGGATCTGAAGAAAAGGTTGTGGCACCGAAATCTGTAGGACGGAGCCATGCTTTCAAGATGCTTCCGTCTTGAAAGCGGGCAACACCAAGTGCTCAGGATAGTTGAACCAACTCGGGAACCTTGCCAAAGCTACCATCTTCAAAGTCATCTAGAAAGAGACGCCTCGATTTCCAGGTAGCAAAGAAAAAAGGGTGCGATGGAAAAGGTGCCAGTCACCAAGGAAACGCACACCGGGAAGGGCACCAGACTTGTGAAGCGCTGAGAGATTCGACAATCCTCTTGCACAAGCATTCCTTGGAGCTTCGAGGCGTGGAGAAGCCAAGCTCCGCTATCTTGAGCCCTGAAATCCGCAGAAGACCGTGCCGAGGTAAACCCAAGCAATGGAAATATGGAGAGAAGGCCACTGGAAGAAAACACCAAGAGACCACTGCAACCCGACCCCAACAATGCACACAAGGCGACAGCGAGAAAAAACATACCACAAGCAAGAGCCAGAGGGGCGGAATAGCGCTGTCCTGCTGAGATTTTGGAGACCTCTTGTAAGACGGAAGTTGGCGAAGCTGTAGAGTGCCAACGCACTGGGCTCTGCCCTAAAGTCGGCGCGCGGTGCTTCATTTTCAGACTTTCGGATCTCAGAGCTTTTGCTCTTAGCGTCTAAGGCTTACCTTATAAGTAGGGGTAACTAGACTCATAACTACTTATGACCCCAATTCAGGTACTTATAACCTTACATACTAAGTCCCATGATCCTTTAGGTACTCTTCCTCCCCAGCATGGAGCCTGGTCCTCGCCGGCAGTCATTTCCCAAGCTGGTCAGGGGGGCTTAGGACTGTTGGGGCTTGCAGGTTCAGGTTAGGCTATCCTTGCAGCATTTAGTAGGGCTTTGGGGTGTTGGTGTGGGGGGTTTTGAGCTTGAGAGAATCAGCAAGTGTAGGGCTGTTCGAACGGATTCGGAAGACGCGCCCCTCCGAAACCCACAAAGCATTCCTAGGTTCCAGTTTCGGGGTTGTGCACTACAGCAACGAAGCCTCTGAATACAGGTCTTGTACCCCCAAGCCCCGAAAGTTCTATGGCACCTCGCCTCAACCGGAGCACCCAAACAGCTCCATTCCCAAGATCCTTCATCAATGACCCCACATAGACGTGACATACAGGCCAAAAGAAGGGTGCATACTTCTATGAGCACCATGTAACAAGACTGAACAATGACCATCAGAGCGCTTGAAGAAGTACGAAAGGAACGGCAGCAGCGACAACAACAACGACGACCACCACATCAACAAGTATTAGTGCATATCTGTGTGTGTTTTACGGTGTTCTCACATGCGGACTCTGAGGGAGGTCTTGTACGAACCATTCAGATCGCTGTATTCTATCAGGGAACCCCAGGGAACACGTTTACCACTCCGCTAAACTGCGAAATCCTAAACCAACCCTGTTGCTACCCCTAAACTCCCAGACTCCAAAAGCCCTGAACCCCAAATACTCAACCCTGAAAAAAAGACTCCCCAAACCCCAAACCCCAACCTTAAAACTCTAAGCCCTAAACCTCAACCTCCCTGAAACCCCAAACCCCAACTGCCCTAACCTAAAACCCTAAACCCTAAACCTCAAACCCTCGAAATCCCAGATAAAACCCTTACCCAAAAAAGAAGCAAAACTCCGAGACCACAAGAGCCCTCATGGTGCGCAGCCGGGCGCCCCGGCTTTTTCGCAGCTGCGGCAACTTCGGCTCGAGGTTTTTCAGCGCGAAGCCTCGGCGGGTGACTCGAGGCTTCGAGGCTTTAAAGGACCTACAAACGGGGTGTCTATACTAGGGTTATATGAGGGTTTTGTTAGGGTTATACTAGGGTTATGTTAGGGTTTATGTTAGGGTTATATTGAGGTACACAGTTGCACATGCTCAAGTCATGCAGGATCTAATACAATCCTCCTATTGTCTCTTTTGAACTCCGACCTTTTCATCGTCACCAAACCACACCAAACCCAGAGCCGTGCCCCGCAGTCAGACTGGAAGAGAATCCAAAACTCCAACCTAAAGCCAAAGTCTCATTAAATCACTAAACCCAGTATCAAAACCAAAACAGTCAGACGGGCGGCGCTTGAACCTTCGATTGAAAGCTGCTCCGTCCGCCGCGGCAAACCCCACCTGGACCTGTGCAAGAAGATAGCAGCTAAGGCGATTGCATCTCTTCAGTGTAACTCTAACCGACCCTGACTCTCTCATATCCACGTAGCCTACGCCTTAGCTCCGCTTCGTGACGTAGCAACTCGGCAGCCCACAATCCGACACATCCGACGGGAGCCTTGGGTGCTTCAAGCGTAGCAAGGCATAGATGAATGAATCCCAGGAGTTCCCTGCACTGCAGGGCCACTGTAGGATTACCAAATGTAACCCCCTAAACCCTAAACCCCCCTAGACCCTAAACCCTGAACCTACGAAATGTAGAGTCCGAGTTAAACACTGCCTCCGAAAACAGGAGCCTGCTCTTCAGCTTTGAGAGGCATTCGGAGAAGCGGCGGCAGCCTGAAGCAGCTGATGGTTACTCTTACTACCGCTACTAGTATCATAGGTTCGTATGGCGATATTTACATACTTGTCACAATGTTTTCTGAAGATCAGCACCTTCCTCCTGCGCTTTCAGATTCCTGGGGCCATCTCTGGACCCCCAGTTTCTTGTGTTGGCGACTGCAGCTCTCATGCACCATCCGGGAGCAACGAAGACTACCTCTATGGCGCGAGCAACACCGGTCCTTGATGTGAAATTCTGCACGGCTCTGAGATTCTGCTTCTTCCGACTTCGAAGAAGCCTAGGTCTCATCCCTCGAAATCTCCCCCAAAGGGGAGCTTCAAACGAAACTTCCGGGGACTTCGGGTCGACTGATGGTCACCCTACAAGAAATCCCAAGTAAAGGGCTCCTTTAAGGGATAGGGTTTAGGGTTTAGGGTCTAAACCTGGGAGGATCATGAAACTTAGTAAGTAAGGTTATAAGTACCTTCTTCGGGGTCATAAGTATAGATGCACTTATTATAACCCTACTTACTAAGATCCCACAATCCTTCAAGTAACCCTAAAACCCCTCTTATAGAGCCCTTATAGATCCCCTTTAAGGAACCCTAGTTACTAAGTCCCATGCTCCTTTATGTAGTTACAAGTGTGCTGAGGCTGAAGTCGAAAGCTCCTCAAAGCTCTGGAGCCAGAAGCTCCACTTTCAAGCTGAGACAGACCCGGGCTGGAGCCTTCCTTGCAAAAGCTTGGAGGTTTTACGGAGTTTGGGGTTAAGGGTTTAGGGTTTGAGGATCCCTGATTCATGCGCCCCGCCTCCGGCAGACCTCTGCCAGCGCGCCCTCCAGCTTCTCCGGCGCGCAGAGCTCCTTGCAGCAGTCATCGCAGGGAGGGTCATTTCTGGTGTTTTAGGGTTTAAGATTTACGGCTTTAGGGTTTTAGGGTAAATGCTTCGGGTTGCCCTTGGGATGGTTGGCGACTATCGGACATGGTGCTTCGTTAGAGGCCCCTTTAGCCAGCCGCCTATAGTATGCCTGTTTGCAAAATAAAACGAGTTGTATATTGGCTTCTATGACTTACATACATTTAGGGTTTAGGGTTTAGGGTTTAGGGTATGACTTACATACATTTTATGGGATCTTATCAGATTTCTCCTTCCAAGACGGAGCCTTTCTAGGATGTTAGATGGGTCATTTTCCGCTCAGGGCCAATACTAAGCTGCTTGGCTGCAAAGGTTGGTCCTTTTGGAGGGTTTACGATAAGTGCCTATTTGCATTAACGTAGGGCCTTAATCATTAGACTAGGGTTTTGGGACCCAATTATACTATACTTATAACAAGGAACCCCAGAAGAGTATAGGTAATTGTTTACAGTAGGCCTGCATATTATTCGAAGGTCTGTGCAGCCCTTCGAACACTCTTTATGCTCGGCGTCTTCGCAAGCTAGCCAGCTGATCACTGCTGATCTTTCTCTTGCAGTCATCGCAAACGCACCATCACGACACATACTCAACAATCCTTCATTACCTACCCCAACAAACCCGAAGCATCTCCAAAAAAAACCTGAGCCCAAACACTTAGCCCCCGACACGAAGCCCAAGCATCTCTACATACACACACACACACATGTGTCTCCAAAACCTCTTCATTCAGAAATATACATTCACTTCTGGAGGGTTTTGAATGTAATTCAGGGTATGCTCCTTACTATGGAACGGGCTTTGAAGTCTTTGGATGACCCGAGGCCCCCGCAAGGCGGCCGCTGGCACGGTCTCCGGCGTCCACCGCCTCGCAGAATTCCTGAAGAGCCGAGGCAGGGACTGTGCTTTAGGGGTTTACTTTAAGGATCATGCTTTACTTAAAGGATCATGGGACTTTTTTTTTTGGAGCCCCTTTTTCCGTCTGCAATGTCTCAACCACAGTCAGAAGGCCCAGGATCATGGGACTTAGTAACTAGGGTTAGAATTAAGGTAACTATACTTATAGCCCCAATACTTACTAAGTCCCATGATCCTCCAAGTAGGGGCTTAGGAGGGGCTTACTTTAGGGGCCTTCCTGATTAGAATAGGGTTTTGGTGTAAATACAACTATAATTAGAATAAGGCACCCCCAAAAGAGTATTGGTCATGATGTAGGCTCCTATAGTAGGAGGGGCCTAGGAAGGGCTTTAGGTTGCTTTGGTTTGGGGAAACCTAGGGCGAGGCTTAAGTTTACGGATCATAGGATGTTGGCTGCCGGGTTTGGAGTGAAGGTCAAGGCTTGCACTTAAGTGCTGAGGGCCGAATTTTCGGGCTCAGGATATCTAAGCCCGAGTTTGAAGTCTCGCTTGTGTTTAGGTGCGTTACGGCTCAAAGGCATGATATCAATCCACCACTTGCACTAGCATGAAGACGATGGGGTATCACCAGAATACCTCAAACAGAGCCAGCTAAACTGCTCACAGATGCACCACGACTAGCCGCCGTCATGTGATGCCACGCCAACCAAAGCAAATTGCTTTCTCTGCAATTCCTGCTAGTAAACGTGAATCATCACACCGAATTTATGAGAGCTGCAACTCGCAAACAACAGATGCAACAGCCTCCGCAATGCCTCAAACCCCCTTTTGGGCTTGAAGAACCCGTGGGGGCAGCCCATTGAGCCTCGGGCTTCGGGTTTTGAGAAGCTCATACTGTACTTTGGAGGATCATGGGACTTAGTAAGTAAAGGGCTCCTTTAAAAGATAGGGTTTAGGGTTTAGGGTCTAAACTTGGGAGGATCATGGGACTTAGTAAGTAAGGTTATAAGTACCTTAAAGGGGGTCATAAGTATAGTTACCCTAATTATAACCCTAGTTACTAAGTCCCATGATCCTTTAAGTATGTAATTCAGGAACCTGAAAACCGGGTCGAAGGTTTAGGAACCCTAAACCCCAAAAGCCATCGCCATTTTGCAGAGTGGCCGTGAGCACGGCCTTGATTCTGCTCAGACACTCCTGTGGGATACGAGGCTTCAGGGCTTTTAAGAGGGTTTGTGGTTTAGGGTTTAGATCTAATGTAAGGGCCTTGATAAGCATAATAGGGTTTTGGGCGTTCCTGAAAATAGTTATGGTATAATATACCCCCCCAAACCCTCTTCCAATTATTTAAGGCAGCCGTATCACAGAACCCTACTATAGATCCCTTATAGACCCCGGGGCAGTTTAGAGCTCAGGGGTAAAGTGTACCGGCTCGAGGCGGATCTGGCATTCTTTGTACAGAAATCTTCAGAGCCTATGGGTTTAGGGTTTGGGGGTTGAGGGGTTTAGGGGTTTAGGGCTTTAGGGATTTGGGGTTTAAGGTTTTAGATTGCCGGGTTTAAAGTTGAAGCTTATGAAATGTCAAGGGTTTAAGGTTTATGGAACTTAGCTTATGGAACTTATATAAGCAGTCTCAAGGGTGTGAGTTCGGGGTGTGAAGTTTATGGAACTTAGGCAGCAAGCGCGAAGAGCAAGTACGTGTGCAGTGCACTAATTGGGGGCTTAGGTGTTGGTGTGTAACACCATCCCATTTCTTCATAACCGATGCCAGAAACTAGGATGAAAACTCAAAGAAATCTAAAAAAACCTCCTGTACCAGATGTCGGGGAGCATGACTGTAGCAGCCACAAACAATACAGTACAAGCGACCTCCTCTGTGAGTGGCAACTCCCCAGTGTCACCTGCACAGGTCTTTGCTTCTATGGTTCTTTAGCGTGTCCACCTAGGCTGTCTGATCAAGGGTTCAAGACTGGCGGTGTGGGCAAACTACAGGTGAAAGGAAGCCACTTGCACCTAACAAACAACCAAAACTTTGACAAGACCTTGAGAACTAAAAGCAGGTCCGAAGCAGAACACGGGCTCGGCCCAAAACCAGCTCGAGTGCTAGCAGCTAGCAGCCAGCAGTCATGTCGCTATTCCACTGTCATCACCAACGATTTCACCACCGTCTTAATCACAAGCAGCATCACAATCAACATCATCAGAAGGACAACAATCATGAAGATGAGCATCAACAACAGAATCCAGCAGAAGTCAACAGCAGCAGCATTTACCATCGCCATCATCATCCGATCATCATCACCATCATCATCTGCATCACGGCATCATCCTTGCCATCATCACAGTCATCATCATCATCAGCAGCATCAGCAGCATCTTCTTCTTCAACATCATCATCATCATCATCATCGCAGTCATGTTCGTCATCATCACCATCATCACCATTTAGAAACATCATCGTCGTCGCGCATGTCCTTCACGAAGTCGCAACTGCAGGACTGAGCCTTTCAATATGCTGGGAGCCCAGAGGCAAGTCGATGCTTTTTGTCTGCGAGGTGCTCAATTGCTGCTGAATCTGTTAGTAGACTGAACTTTCTGCTGGCACTTACAATGCGACGGAACAAAGCCTTAACGGCCTCCAGCCCATGCGGGGGGTTCCGAAAAATTAGGGTGTACACCCTATTTGGGGTCCTTACAAAAAGGATCCTACTGTTAGGGTACCATATTAGGGTCCCCTATTTTCGGAAACTCCCATACTGTGAAAAGAGGTCGGAATGATTACGAACCGCATCCTCGCTGGACCCTCAAAGGAACCCTAACATTGACACCTTTGGGTTAGAAGGGGCCCCCACCCTGTAATCGTGGTATAATAGGAGTATGATAGGGCCCTAATATCATCCTTATAGTCACCATAACAGGGTGGGAGCAGCTTCTAACCTTTGGCGCTGGTCAGCCTTCTTTGGGCGACGCGAGGGACGGCTTAGCATCCACAGGCATGAGCTCCTTCTCAGAGTTTGAGCTTTTGGGGCTCGGAGATTTTCGGCTTCAGAGCTTTCGGTTCATGGATTTGGGGTGTTAGGAATGTAGGGAAGTGTAGCTGTGTGGTTGGGGGGATCTCTGCCCTGGGGCTTAGGGTGTTAGGAATGGGGGCTTCGGGTCAGAGCTTGACAGCGCCATTTTGGGAGCTCCTTGTTATTATAACTATATATAGTAAAGTGGCCCCAAAACCCTGTTCTAATTATTAAGGCCCCTGTGAAGAAACCGTTTCAAAGTGCCCAATGCGCGGCTGAAAGCTGGGACCCAATGATAAGTGGGCGGTTGTCAAAATTAGGATCCCTTTTTGGGTCCTTAATAAAAAAAGACACCTAATATTAGATCCTTATTTTTACTTGTGGTAACTTAAGTTAAATGGGAGTTTCCAAAAATTAGGGGTACCGTCCTTTGGGGTCCTTAGACGAAGGATCCTGCTTTTTAGGGCGCTATATTAGGGTCCCCTAACCCAGGCAAAAGGCCCCCGAGCCGGGCCTCCTTCAGCTCGGAGAGCTGCTGTGGCCAGGAGCGGGAGTCCCGGCGCCAAGCGTGGCCGCGCTGGCCCGCCTAAAAGAAGGGCTTTAAAAGGGGGTTCTAGGGTTTGGGGTTTAGGGATCTCTAGGGTTCCTTAAAGGGATCTATGGGGCTCAGGGATCAGGGTCTACTTGGAGGATCATGGGACTTTGTAAGTAAGGCTACTAAGTACCTTAAAGGGGGGGTTTATAAGTATAGTTACCCTAACAATAACCCTAGTTACTAAGTCCCATGAGCCTTTAAGTAGCGTTTGGGTTCAGGGCTTAGGGCTTCAGGGTTTACTCTTCGGGGGATCTCCGGGTTCGGGGTCTCGGGTTTTTGAGGGTTAGGGCTTCTGGAGCTTAGGGTGTCGCGGGCCTTCAGGGTCTTGGCATGTTGCGTCAGGTCGCAACGAAGCTCACCCCTGCTCCAGCATCCCTTAAAGATAGGAATAGAGGTCATAGACACCAGGATGACTTCTGCAACGTCCACCAAAATGGGGGCCTAAGAACAAGAAGAACGCAGATTGGACAAGCTGCGTACATCACCTGATCGTTGTCGCTCGACCAGTCTGATTCCTCGGACGTACCAGACACCTCCGGAACGGGTGTGCAACATGTTTCGGAATTTTCTGGACTTCTAAGTTTCAGGGTGAGGAACCTCCACTACTTCAAGGATCATGGGACTTAGTAACTAGGGTTTTAATTGGGATAACTATACCCGAGCTATGGTACTTATAATCTTACTTACTAAGTCCCATGATCCTCCAAGTAACCCCGGGGCCTCAAGAGACTTCGGTAACCAGGTTTGGTAGTGGCTTGAGGCATACGAGACACTGACATACTGCGCAACCTCCCGGCATGCCCGCTGTCCTTAAACCATCCACACCCTCACCTTGTAAGCTTAAAACATGCCAAACGGTAGATCGTCAGACATTAGAAATTGCAATGACTAATCTAATTTCCTCGAACTCCAGTCCTAGACGATAGAAACCTTGGACCCTGACCACTCAAGCCAGAAGCATGCAAAACGGGGCAGACAGAGCTATCACGCTTGCTTGGCACTTGGCCAAGGCGTCACCTGTGCACGATAGCTTTTTCAAGCTTCCCATCACTGAAAGCTCAGGTCCAGAAAATTCTAGGCCGCATGTCTCAACTCCCTAAAGGCTGGTGAAGGCGGCAAGAGGAAAAAAAACGAAACCCTCGACCCCGTCTGCTTCGTAAGCCACAGAGCTGGATTCCCTGAGCCCTAAACTCCTAAACCCTAAACCGGGGACCCCTATAAAAAGGGCAAAAGGGTACCACTCGGGAACCTAGTAAGCCCTAAACCCCTATAGATCCCATACAGAACCCCTTAATGAGCACCCTTAAAGGGACCCTTAACGGGACCCTTAAAGGCATTCTTATAGAGACCCTTCAAAGGCTACCACCCCGGAACCCAGTAAGCTCAGAGCCTCGGCACCCGTGAGTCGGAAGCCCGCGAGGAAGGCTTGCTCCTCCTTCGCCGGCTTACTTCAAGGATCATGGGACTTAGAAACTATAGGGTTCCTTTAAAGGGATCTATAGGGGTTCTTTAAAGGGATCTATAGGGTTTAGGGTTTAGGGTCTACTTCAAGGATCATGGGACTTAGGAACTAGGGTTCTAGTTGGGGTGACTATACTTATTACCCCAATTAAGGTACTAATAACCTTACTTGCTAAGTCCCATGATCCTCCCAAGGTTTAGACCCTAAACCCCAAACCCTATAGATCCCTTTAAGGAACCCTGCAGATCCCTTTAAGGAGCCCTTCTAGGACCCTTACTTACTTAGTCCCATGATCCTCCAAGTAGGGGTTGCGGATGTCGGGCCTCGGGTTGTGGGCTTAGGGCTTAAAGGCTTGGGTTTAGGGTTTAGGGTTTAGGGTTTAGGGGTTTAGGGGTTTAGGGTTTAGGGTTAAGGTCCTCCTTTTCCGGCTTAGGGGTTTCGGATTTAGGGTTTAGGGTCTAGGGGTTTAGGGTCTGGGGTTTTTGGTTTTGGGGTTTAGGGGTTTAGGGGTGTGGGTCTGGGGGTGGGGTTCAGGGTCTAGGGGTTTAAGATTTAGGGGTTTCGGGGTTCAGGGTCTAGGGGTTTCAGGGTCTAGGGGTTTCAGGTTTAGGGGTTTAGGGTCTAGGGGTTTGGGTCTAAGGGTTTAAGGTTCAGGGGTTTAGGGGTTTAGGGTCTAGGGGTTTAAGGTTCAGGGGTTTAGGGGTTTAGGGTCTGGGGGGTTTAAGGTTTCGGGTTTCAGGGCTTTGGGCTTGTTCCAGCACCCGGAGATCACTAACGGCAACAGCGCCTGGAGCCAACAAGATTTTTAAACAACCCCCCGAACTCTTTGAGAAAGCCTGTGCACAGTGATCCATGGAAAAGCCCTCATTGCTTTTTGAGGGGCAGCTGTGCTCATTGCCTCTACGCACTCTTTGCACGAACCCCGTGCTAGCGCCTCAGTGGTCGTTGCCGCTGGCCTGGCCGGTCAGGGTTTACTTAAAGGATCATGGGACTTAGTAACTAGGGTTATAATTAGGGTAACTATACTTATAACCCCAATTAAGGTACTTATAACCATACTTACTAAGTCCCATGATCCTCCAAGTAGGGGTTAGGGCAAGTGCGAGTGTGCTCTTGAGCAATCCAACTTCATACAACTTAAGAAGTGCGACAGGCAGGCGCCTGTCAGGAAAGCACTAGTGCCTAAAGAGAGCTCCAAGATAGATAGAGACAGAGATCAAGAGAGAGATTAGAGATTTCCGGATAGATTTTTTCGGTTAATGATGAGTGCTTAGAGACTAGCGGTTACGGATAAGAGATAGTGATTTCAGCTAGAGCTAGAGATTGAGATAGATAGAGAAGGGGAACAAGTAGACAGACGGACAGACGGACAGATGCATAAATAGATAAATAGATCAAGCTCACAACTAGCATTGTCTTTCTATGAATTCTACGTAAAGGATCATGGGACTTAAGAAGCGACTCGGGTTATTACTAGGGTAACCATACCTCTTACTACTTATAACCCCACTTAAGGTACCTATATCTTTACTTACGAAAACCCATAATCCTTTAAGTACAAGGGCTCCACAGAGGTGGGAGTTTCCAAAAATGGGGGACCTTCATATAGTACCTGAAATAGTAGGATCCCTACTACAAGGACCTTAAAACCAGGTCCTACGGAGGTCTTGAGCCCCGAGACATCCCGCGGCCTCGCTAAATCGAGCTCCGCGCGCGTCGCGGAAAGCGTCTTCCGGCCTTCGTTGGAGGTTTAGGGTTTAGGGTTTAGGGGTTTTGAGTTTGGGGTTTAGGGTTTGGCGTTTGGGGTTTAGGGTTTAGGGGTTTTGGGTTTAGGGTTTAGGGTTTGGCGTTGAGGGTTTATGGTTTAGCGGGGAGGCTCGGGGCTTTTGAAGGTTTCGGGTTCAGGGTTTGGGAGGGTTTTAAGAGGTTGGGGTTTCCTGTAGGTCTTGGTGGCTTCAGGTTTTAAGCCCTTCGTAGCCTCCAGGGCATGAAGGGCTCATGGCGTCGATGGGCATGTTTTTGAGTTTACAAGTCTTACAGGGCTTCTAAGGATTTAGGTCCAAACAACTTGGAGGATCATGGGACTTAGTAAGTACGGTTATACGTACCCCAGTTGGGGTTATAAATATAGTTACCCCAATTATAACCCTAGTTACTAAGTCCCATGATCCTTTAAGTAGACCCTAAACCCCAAACCCTATAGATCCCTTTAAAGAACCCCTATAGATCCCTTTAAAGGAACCCTATAGTTACTAAGTCCCATGATCCTTTCAGTAAGAAGGACCCATGAAGCCGAAGCCTCTGCAGCGGCTCCCTGAGACGGAACGTCACCCCGAGACCGGGAGACCCTAAACAGCTTCAAGGGCCCCCATCCCGCTGACGGCAGTACCCCAAACTTAGGGTTTAGGGTTGAGGTTTAAGGGTTGAGGGTAGAGGGTTTAGGGTTTAGGGTTGAGGGTTTAGGGTTTAGGGTTGAGGTTGAGGGACTTCACAGTCAGTCCTGTCTTCTGCTTCTCCTGCTGCTCGGTGTGGTAGGCGTTCACGGCGGCCAGCTCTTCGTCATCGATGAAATTATCGTTGACATCGTAGAACCTCGGCCGAGCAAACCGAGCTGCTGCTTTCGGGGAGGCAAAGAACTACTCTCGAACTGACGGGGCGCCTATTGCAACTGCTGCTTTCTGCATTCTGCGACGCTCGATCAGGCCCAAGCAGCCCAAAACTCGAAAGCTAGACTTGAAGCGCGGGAAAACCTACAGACTGCAACCCCAACTCCACCTTTACCTGAACTGCTCCACGACACCCAAAAAGGCTCACCGTCCTCTCTCCCAAGACTTAAAGCCGACAGTCGCTGGGTCCCTGCAGGGACCCTTGATCTGCCAAGTCCCCCTGGGCATCGCACTCACCGCCCTTCTGCTGCCTGCTTTAGGGTTTAGGGGTTTAGGGTTTAGGGTTTAGGGGTTTAGGGTTTAGGGTTTAGGGGTTTAGGGTTTAGGGTTTAGGGACTCCAGCTCGACAGTGAAGGCTCGAGGTGTTGGGGCTTAAGATCTGCAGGGCTCAAACTGACACCCCAACTCTAAACCCTAGACGAGACCCTGAATCCCTCAAACCCTAAATCCCTAAAACCCTAAATCCCTAAAACCCTAATTCCCTAAAACCCTAAATCCCTAAAACCCTAAATCCCTAAAACCCTAAACCCCCCCTAAAACCCTAATTCCCTAATCACCTTCGGTTCCGGGCCTTTGGGACCTCAAGATGCTCCCGGTAGAGCCTTGCTGCTCGAGTCGCTGTCGGCTCCTTCCTTCCACACAGAATGCCCTTTCGTCGCTACGCCAGGGCCACTTCTACAACCCGAAACCCTAAAAATTTGAACCCGAAGATGCCTCGAGGGCTTCGAAGACAGGATCGACTCGGGCGCCGCGAGAAGCCCTTGACGCGCAAGACGATTTTCCATGCTCCGGATGGCCTCTCTGGGTTTAGGGGGTTTGGGGGAATATAGGGAATTGGGTAATTCCATAAAGGACATGGAAGTTGAAGGTTTGAGCAGCGCTTCGAGCTTCCGGTCTTGCGTTGCAAACTTGGCTGGCAGCCGCAGGCTGTAGAAGTAAGCTTTCTGCTTCTTGTGAGGGTTCCCAACAGCCCGAAACCCCATCCGGACACCACCCAGCCCTAACCTAGACTCATCAAACACCTGCGAGTATACCATATCCGCTTGTCACACTACACCCTACCATGCTATACTATACCATACGATACCATACCATACCATACCGTACTATACCATGCGATACACTATACCTTCGACTACTATACCCTTGCGCAAACTGTACATGTGTGTATGTATGTGCATAAAAACATATATATATATATATATATATAGGTATTTGTATCTATATTTAGATTTAGAATTGTATTTGTTCATTCATTCAATCAATCAATTCAGTATACATATATATATATATATATATATATATACATGATGGTGATGAGGAGGAGGAGCGCCTCGCCAAGGAGATCCCGCCGGCCGATGCCAGACAGGCTCGGGCCCTCCTTTCGCCAAGTTCGCAGCGAAAGCCGCAAGCTTGGAGTTTCGGGTTTAGGCTTTGGGGGTTTGGGGGTTTAGGGTTTTAGGGTTTCGGGGTTTAGGGTTTAGGGGTTTAGGCTTTAGGGTTTAGGGTCTAGGGTTTAGGGGTAAGCTTGGAGTTCTTTGTTCCCCAGTAGCCGCCGAACAGTAAGGGTACCCTTTTCTTCCTAGCGCTTTGGTGCTTTTAAGGGCTGCTTAGGGCTTCGTAGGGTTTCTGGTGCGGTTTGCGGCTCTTGAGAAGCTTCCAGGAAAAAGGATCTGGGATTTACGGTGTTCACATTTCAGTGCGTCTAGAGCGTGTAAGGTTCAGGGCACATGAAGGGCTGTCACGGATTTTAAGGTTTCAGGCTGTTGGAGAGGTGCAGGGCTTTGGTATAAGGTATGCCATGGGCCCTGCATTTGATAAGCCTCTAAGCCCTATAAACCTGTAACCCTTTGCTTCGGGCGATGTATGTTCAGAGGTTGACAGATTCAGGGTCTGAGAGTAAGGATCTCAGCATCCGCCTTCTAATAATTGAATGATACGATAATTACCAGGTAGTGTTACCATCATTGTTATCATCCCTATGATTACGAGCCTATACTAGTATTCAGCAGGACGTGTAAAACACATCCCCGATCCCCAGGCATTGAGCTCAAACCAAAACAGCAATTCGTATCTTTGAAGCCCATCAAACCGAACCCGTAAATCGACATCTCCCAGATGTCGAAGCTCACACCACCGAGACGAAGCTCTTAGCTCGAGGGATTTGGGCTCAAGGTGTGGCTTCTTACCCGCACCGAAGTCTGAAACTCTTCTCTGTAGGGTTTAGGGTTTGGCTGCCCTCGATGACATCACAAGTCGCGATAGCACCTCAAGAAGAACCCCCCACATGCATGCTTGCTAAGCATCAGCACTGAAGGCCAAGCAGGGGCTTCTCTAAAGGAACACAACCCTTACTAGGTAATTCACATGAAGTTCCTGATTCCTCAACAACTTAAATAAGTTTCCATAATGAGAAAACACTATTGTTTGCCACATACCCCCAGTATGGTAACTTACATTAAGTTCCCTTAACAACTTCCCAGCAACAGGCGCATCCGCAATGCCTCTGCAGGCTGCGCCAGCTTGCGCTTCAGGGGCCGGCTGGCCTGCCAAGCCCTGAATCCAAAGAGAGGTCCCAAAAAAGGACCCAAAAAAACCTCTCTGAAAAGAAGGTCGGCCTCAGCGGACTCGGCCACTGCCTCCGTGGGCGCTGGAGGACCGCCCCTCAACTCCTTCCGACTTGTTGCATCCGGGGTTTGGGATTTTCCAGGGGTTCGGGCGGATCTGTTTAGGGCCTGGGGTTTAGGCTTGGGGGTTTAGGGCTTCTTGTTTGGTGGTTAGGGCTTTCAGATTTGTTGGTGCAGCGTTCAGGATCTTGGGTTCAAGGGTTCATCGCTTTGCCTTCGAGCTTTTCTTTTGGCTTCTTGAGCTCTTGGGGTAAGAAAGCTTCCAAGTCGGCTTAGTGAGGGCCTTGATCCGATCCGATGCGGCGCACCCGTGAGTTCCGGCTTTGGGTGAAGAGGTTGACTCTAGCTTGTAGTGCTAGGGTTTAGGCTTTGGGGTTGTGGAAACAGTTTCCTCAACACAAAAGAGATTTTGCTTCGGGGCTTTTGGACTTCAGGGCTTTGGTGAGTCTTTTCTGTGCAGGACCCTTGAAAGTAAGCATCCTACAGTCTCGAATCTCTACAGGACTTACCTCTCCTTGTCCTAAAGTCCATACAGTAGAAGCCAGAAAGTTGGAATATCATTATCGTAACCCCTTTATGGTAAATTATAGGGGATCCTACCATTAATCCATATTCCAACTTTCTGGAGTTCCCTTTATGAACTCAGCTTCAGAGCAGCCTTTTTCGGCCGCCTCACTTTTCCCTTGCGGATAAGACCGTCTCGACGCCATAAAGGTCGTCCGACAGCTATCTAGAAGGGAACCGCAACCCAAATGGATCAAGGAAATCCCGGACTATATTTCCTCAAATGGCCTAATTAGGCCCTTATCATGGGCATTAAGGCCCCCTACCCCACCGCAACTTCAGGCACAAACCCGAAACCCCTAACCCCAAAACCCTAAACCCCCAACCCCACGACCCTAAACCCCGAAACCCCTAAACCCCTACACCCCTAAACCCCTAAACCCTAAACCCTAAATCCTAAACCCCGAAACCCCTAAACCCTAAAACCCCTAAACCCCTACACCCCTAAACCCTTAAACCCCTACACCCCTAAACCCCCCCCAAACCCCCAAACCCCTAAACCCCGAAACCCCTAAACCCTAAACCCTAAACCTTAAACCCCTAAACCCTAACCCCTAAACCCCTAAACCCCCAAACCCCCAAACCCCTAAACCCGGGGTCCCGGGGGTACTGCTCCCGCAGCAGCTGCCGGAAGCTTAGGAGCTTCGGGAGCTGCGGCACCTGGGTGGTTGTCAAAATTACTTAAAGGATCTTAGTAACTATAGGGTTCCTTAAAGGGCTCCTTTAAAGGGATCTCTAGGGGTTTCTTAAAGGGATCTATAGGGTTTGGGGTTTAGGGTCTACTTAAAGGATCACGGGACTTAGTAACTAGGGTTATAATTAGGGTAACTGTACTAATAACCCCAATTAAGGTACTTATAACCTTACTTACTAAGTCCCATGATCCTCCAAGTATGGGTTCCTGGCACGGTTGAGGGTTTAGGGTTTAGGGGTGGCTGTCAAAATTAAGGTCCCATTTTGGGTCCCTAATATGACACGGCACCTCATATTTAGGGTACCCAAAAGGAACCATAATTTTGACAACTACCCACCTGAGTCCAGAGAGCTTCTGGGCTTCCAGCGCCTTTAGAATCGAAAGGCTTCTAAGGATTAAGTTTAGGAATTAGGGTCTAGTTCAGGGTTTAGGGTCTAGTTGAGGGTTAGGGTCTAGTTCAGGGTTTCGGGTCTAGTTTAAGGTTTAAGGTCTAGTTTAGGGCTTAGGGTCTAGTCTTCGAGTGCGGATTGGCGTGCCGCTATAAGGCAGACACTGGGCTCAAGCAATACAGGCCAGAGCGCTACTGTTGGAAGACGACAGAACTACAAATGAAAGAAGCATCTGCAGCTACCAGAAAATGCAAAGCAAAGCCTCTGGAAAGGCTGTCAAGACGGCATGTCGACGCCCACAGTGGATCCCGACCGCTGAACCCCCGAAGCCATACACATATCCCACGACCCGAATAAGAATCACGATACTCACGATAGTTTATCTTAATAACCATGGTGCATTCTCCTTATCTTCATGGTAATTAACCATAATCATCATGGTAGCTAATCATAATAAAATCATAAATGAGATATCAGAATAACCACGCCGGAAGCCATGCACTCCTCCCGCGACCCCTTTGCCGTGCCTCGCCCGGGCTCCAAGGTGCCACTGGCTCCAGGGTTGCCTCGCTTGGGGAGGAGGAGCAGGGTATATAATGGATATATAGCAGCATATACCCTTAATATAGCTACATTAAGGGTATATACCTAGGGGTCCTTATGAAGGGTCCCTCCTACCCTTGGATTGTAGTTTGAGGCTGAAGGGTTTCGGTGCTGAAGGTATGTGGTTTAAGCTGCCGGTGTTTCGGGTTTAGGGTCTAAGGTTAGGCTTAGGCTTTCGGCGTTTACGGTTTAAGGATCTAAGGTTAGGTTTAGGGTTTCGGTTTGAAGGCTTTGAATTTAAGGTTTAGGGTTGAGGGCAGCTGAAGATTTTGCGCAATGTGGGGGATCAAGGGTTACAAAGCGATTAGAGGCACTGAGCTCTAAACAGCAAGTTTCTGAAATAGCTCCAAGTCTGTGAACGGCACCAAAGGCAGCACCCGCTGATGCTAACCTCAACACCGAACGTGATAGAACGAGAAGACCCCTACACGAAAGCCAAAGTTACCATAGTAAGGAACCATATTATTCACTCCTACAATGGTACCTTAAATTGGATCCCTTAACCCCCAAACTCTCATAGAACCCTTTATGGTCAGAATTAGATCCCTTCACAAGAACCCAGGAAATCTCAAGGTCCTTCGATCTGAGAGAGCCGGCCGAAACGGGCAGCCCCGTGGGGAGAACCTCAAGGGCCACCTGCTCAAAGGATCATGGGACTTAGTAACTCGGGGTTCCTTAAAGGGTTCCCAAAAGGGGATCTGTAGGGTTTAGGGTTTAGGGGCCTACTTAGGGTTCCTAAAAAGGGACCTACAAGGGCTGTATAAGAGGGTTTTAAGGTTACTTAAAGGATCATGGGACTTAGTAAGTAAGGTTTAGGGTTCCTTTTAATAAGGGCACACTAGAGGGTTCTATAATAGGGTTCCTTAAAGGGATCTACAGGGTTAAGGGTTAGGGCCACCTGCTTAAAGGACCAAGGGACTTAGTAACTAGGGTTCCTCATAGGGTTCCTTAAAGGGATCTATTGGGGTTCCTTGAAGGGATCTATGGGGGTTCCTTAAAGGGATCTATAGAGTTTAGGGTTTAGGGTCTACTTAAAGGATCATGGGACTTCGTAACTAGGGTTCCGCAAATGGTTTCTTAGAACGGCAGCTAAAGGATCATAGGACTTAGTAACTAGAAATATGAGTAGGCTAACTACACTTATAACCCCGATGAACGTACTTATAACATTAAAATCTAAGTCCCATGATCCTCCAAGTGGACCAAGGGCGACAGGAGGTCTTTGCGTTCTTTGTTAGTTGTTGGGCTCCTATAAAGGATTCCTCTGAATTGCTCTGGTTTTGCAGTTTCAATTTCTCGTGGTTCGGTGGTTTTTGCTTTTGAACTTCGAGGGCTTAGGGACGATAACATTTAAGGCTTAAGGTGTGTTTAAGTCTATGAACTTAACTGATGGGCTTCTATGACTATGGCTTTGGGGCTTGGGTTTTTGGATGCCTTTTCCGGGCGGTTCGGAGCCGAGTCAAGTCCGCATTCGTCCAAGCCGAAGACATGTTTGCCACTTTTTGGGTTTAGGGTTTAGGATTGTTTTGGGGTTTGGAGATTGTGGCTTAAGGGTTACACGGCATGTAGTTTGACTCTCGGGGGCTGTTGAGTTTGTGATTGGCGAGCTTACTGAAAGGATCATGGGACTTAGCAACTTCGGTTATAATTCGGGTAACTGTAAGCTACTGAAAACTCATTTAAGGTACCTGTAACCTTACTTACTAAGTCGCATGATCCTCCAAGTAGGTTCAAGATGAAGCCATGGCAGTCACCGATGAGAATGGGACAGCTGCACTTGGAATTATCAATACTCAAGCCTTACACGTGGGCTAGCCATGCCTTCCAGGAATCCCGCAGTGCCTCATGTTTTACACTTTTCCTACTCGTAAACACAATCGAATGCTGAATCCCAGAGCCCATCCTAAACCTGCTTAAAACCCTAAACCCCTAAACACCTACACCCTGAACCCTAAACCCTGGCTTCCGCTTTTAGGTACGGCCTACACCCTGGGTTAGGAGCCAACATCAAGACCACAGGATCACCCCAACACAAGCACCAAGCCCTGAACAACGAACTGTCAAAGGAAAGTAGTGAGAAAGAGCCCTGCACCTCAATGCCCATGGTGGCGGATACTTAGAAGATCATGGCGGCTCCAGTTTCGGATGAAACTCTTCGTTACGGGTGACAGACAGCAAATGTGTTGTGCATGCCAACGTTTCCATTAGATTCTCGCTGGTACGTTGTGTTCTCTGGCTCGGTACCGACCAACTCACGAAAAAGCCGCGGATGCATTATGGCCGCACTCTCCAGCGAAAGAATGCTCGGAAACGCACAGGCTGCCGGCCGGTTTCGCAGCGAGTTCGCCGCCAGCTGACCCTTGAATGCGCGGCTATGTTGCCGCCATTGAACTGGATAGTGCTCTCGAGTTTCAGTTGCGAAACCGAATTCTGGAGAAACTGCCAATGTTCTAATTCGCGCTTATCTTTTTGTCCTTGGTGCCGTTCTAACCGAAAGTCTGGCGGCTGCCGGCTGCTCTTTGTGGCTGCCTCGCCGCCACCTACAAAAGAACTGCCGGTTCCCCAGACCCTCTAAGTCTCTACGTCTTCAGCACCCTGCGGCCTGTATGTTCGATTGAGCTCCTGGCCAGTGCTGGCGGACATTCCTGGCCTCGCCAGGCACAGGCATGGGACATGCAAACACGAACCTCCGCAATGGACACAAGCAAAGGCGAGAGCAGCACAGCTTGCTTTTTTTGTTCCACCGCCATACGAGCGAATATTGGAATCATGGAACAAAGCAAAAACGTCCCTTTAGAGGACCAGGATGGCCTGTCTACATGTCGCCTTCGTCCTCGATATTGGCATCGGTCTCAGCCTCGGCCTCAGCCTCATCTTCCTGCGGACCCTCTGCCTGGTGAGTTGCGTTGGCCACCTTCGCCGGCTGCGATACGTTACTGTTGAGCGCAAGGCACCTGGACTTAGAAGTTGAAAGGATGGCCTCACCATCGCGTGAAACTTCCGCAACACGACCCAAAGAGACCTTGCCCTCAGCCTCGGCAATGAGGGCTCTCAAACTCTCATGGCCTTGTCGGGTGGATGCCGGCCGCACCGTGACCCGGATGAAGCTATGGTCCACGTCAGGCTCCGAGCCGGTGCTCACCGTGTGTGCTGGCAAGCGAAGCAAGTTCACCAGATCCGTCTTGGCCGCCCTTGCTGCCTTCGCCAGCACATCAGCAGAGACGGCTTCAGACAAGAGCAAGAACCACTCAAGGCTCGGAAGCGCATCCGAGGCAAGCTCTGTGGAAGCTACCATCTCCAGCTCCGCAAGGACCGTCTTCAGCTTCACCAAAGTCGCGTTCGTGTCCTGCTGCTCTTGAAGCATCTCCTGAAACCCAGCGCCCACCATCTCGTTGACTTCGTCGTCTTCTAGATCTGATACTGCTTGGAGCATCTCCTCTCTCATGGATCTCAGCAGAACTTCCTTGTTCTCTAAGGGGTGGAAGATGTCGTGGTCAAGGATGCCCTCAATGTCTAGGACAAGAAGCCCCTTGACCAGCATGTAGTACTGGTGCGCGATGGAGTTGATGTCGTCGACGTTTATTGTTCGGTACTCGTCCTGATGTAAATCCTGCTGTCCACCCTCAACGAAGTCGATCAAGGAGAACGGGTTGCGCTGCTGGTGCTCGTACAGGCGAGCCTTCATGGCCAGAAGCGCATCCCTCTGCTTACTCACACCGTCAAGCTCGCGAGAAGGCATGCGCCTGCTCTTTCGCTCAGCGTCTGACTTGTTCTCGTTGTAATATGCCGACGCAGGATTCGTCACGAGAACGTCCTGCACCATGGGGGTAAGGCCGAACAGCACGAGAATTCGATTTGGCAAATCCACAGCAAAATATCTCGTCTTTGTGACGATGCGGTCATGGATTGCGTTGGCCCCTGCTGTAAGCTTCTGCATCAGGAGCTCCTCGTACTTATCGTCGAGCATCTTCTGAAATTGCCGATGGTGCGCAATGTGCGGGAAGAACTGCTCCAATGATTTGTGTGCTTTCTCGAGGACTGCGACGTAGATTGCTCTGACCTGTTGCAGAGTGACCGCAACCACGTCTTGCATCTGTAACAACCCATGCGTGACCAGCTGCAGAATGACCGTATGTTTGTTGAAGCTGTGGGTCGCTCCGTCACGAGAGTGGCCGGATTTCGTCATCATCTCCTCCTCCGTCAATGGCTCCAGCTGCATGGAGAAGAGCATGTAGCCCAGCACCCGGACCAAGCGGCTGAAAGCTGCATGAGGGCCAAGCCTCATATGAAGCTGGTGGCCTGTGTAGCTGCCCTTCAGCTGTCCATCCAAGGCCTCGCAATCACGGCTCGCAGCTGCAACTAGCCCTCACTAACTCCGCAAAGGCCCTGGCACTACGTATGATCATGGACACCCACACCATCGGTTCTTTTAAAAAACATAGGTTCTAGAAAGAACTAAAACATAGGTTGTTTTAAACCTATGGTTTTTTAAAACCCTCTTCAGTGAAAGTTCGGCCTCCGTCTCCAGCCAGCCTGGTGGTTTGGGGACAGAGATTTTGGCGATCTCCTCCGGATAGGTAGACACCACGGTCCGTGTTTCTGCCCACTTGTCACGTGGGCCTAGCTGAAACAAGGGCTGAGGCAGTTTCATGCTGGCTATGCGCCCGTACTGCATCATGGAGATGATATTTTCATACGCCAGCGTGTAGTTGCGCCATCCATCTTTGATCTCCCGAGGATTGCTTGCAGCTATCATCTGCTGAAGCTCATTTACGTTGTGCTCGTAGCGCATGACGTCTCCCCTCAGGGAAGAAATCACATCCCGGCAGTTGTCCCGCATCCAGTCCAACAGAATTCCCTGTACATGATTGATAGCCCGTGATACGCCAAACGACTCGATAGCTTCCTTGGTCAACTCCTCATCTTTCTCCATGCGTTCAATGTGCGTTTCGAACTCTCTCTGCTCCTTTTTGGGCAGCTGCTGAATGTAGTCCTCGAGTTCGTCTGCGGACATGCGCTCCTTGTCAACGCCATCCTTGTGATGTAGCATGACAAAACGTGCGTTCGGAAACTTGCCTCTCTGCCCGAGAACGTAGGAATTGACCTGGCTCACCCGCGTCATGTCCGGCAGCTGCTTGTTGAAGTAGTTCATGATCACCAGCGAGTTGCTGAATGTCAGGCCGAGCTCTCTCAGTATGTCCAGGTCGTGTTGCGTCTCGTGGGACTTCGAAGCCTGGCACATCACGACTGGAATTGTTCGAGCATCTTGCAAGAACTTTTGTGTTATGTTGCGCAACTGGTTGAAGTCGGGGTCACCTGAGTCTTTGAGACCAGGCAAGTCCGTGACATCAAGAGTGATTTGCCCGGGCTCCTCAATAGTGACGATGAGTGCCTGGCAGGGATCAGCTTGTGTCACGCGCTACTGGCCCGGCAGTACTTGCTCCTTCCCCCCGCCTCTGAGGTGAACGTTTTCCCCAAAGCCGTCATGTGCGCTGCCACTGCATCCCTCAGCTCACCACGTGTAGAAACCGAGCGCCCTGCAACACTGTAGCGTCGGTTGGGCCCATCGCGGAGGATGTAGCGCACTGGACATCGTGTTGCAGTCCCACGGGCAGTGAAGCCCACGGCCCACCCCACAATACTCTCCAGAAAGGACGTTTTGCCAGAGGACTGAACGCCCAACAGCGCAAGAAGAGGAACCCTCATGTGAGTAGCCGCTTGACCTGCACCTGCGTCTCCCAGCTGCTGCAAGTCGCGTAGAGCTGAGTAGTGCCGGAGCAGACGTGGATCCCGAAGAACACTCTCCCCCAAACATGCGCAGCATGCAGCCATCAGTAGCAAGGCTACTTGCTTCATCACCATGTTCATGAGCTGCAAAACCGTACAGCCCAAGCCTTCCAGGCTTGAAGAAGCCGCGACAAACTGTTCTAAGCCAAAGCTGCTTCAAGATGGACCCTCGCGGAACATTCTGTGACCAACCGTATCGCACCGGTCAACCTCGGCCATCTAGCAGCATCAAAATTCTGCTGGTGCTAAAGCAGGCCTGCCTCTGGACATCTGCCAACAACTGGTTGCTGGGCAATTGCTCGACCACGTTGGTGATCTCAAGCGGCAGAAAGTCACCTGGAGAAACACCGAACAAACCTAGGCGCACGATATTATGCTATTCCGGTTTTTGTATGGCGTTGACTCGGTCTTGAGAATGCCTGGTCTGAGTTTGTGTTCTTTCAGATGTGAGCAATCATGTGACATCACAGCTACAAAAGCCTTGAACGTATGCGCCTAGTCGGGACCGTAGACCATCTTTCCAGGACTGGAATCACGTGAACGTTTCCTTGCCTTCTCGGGTGTAGCGATGAGTGCTCGGAGTTCAGGCTTTGGGGTACCGTTTGGCTCTGCTGCGTCTGCAAGGTTCGGAGATTGTCTGTTTGCGTTCACGATGCTTCGAGCAGAAAAAACAGGATCTCAGCTCCACAGGTGGCCACAAGTGTCCATTGAACTCTAAACCGCAAATTTACTCGAAAATTTCTTGCAAACGTTGACCCTCCCACGTCTCAAGCCCCCGTTTAACCATACAGACGATGCTTGCGAAGCCACAAGCAAAGGACTTTCACACCCCAAAGCCGAAACCCTAAAGCCCCGAATCAAGCCCCAAATACCGTAAGCCCCAAAATAGCTCAGCCAAACCTTAAGCGAGAATCAAAGCTGGCAATCCTTGAAGGTTTATTTCCAGAACATGCAAATCTGGGAAAGCCGAAACGGGCATCCCCATGGGGAGAACCTCAGGAGCCACCTGGACAGAAGGCAGCGTACTACATTCGGTCGAAAAGCGTTGTTTATGCCTATGGCTTAGGGGCTCTAGCTTTGCCAGGATCTTCGGATTAGGGGTTTTGGAACTTCTAGGGTTCAGAACTGACAAGGTTTAAGGCGCATTTACTGCTTCTAGAACTTTATCATGGGCTTCCGTGGCAAGAAGCCTTGCAAGTCCGCAAGGTGTTTCGGGTATCATGATGAATTCGGAACACACAAGCGGCTGTTGTATGCAGGCAGGTGTGGTATGCCATTAACGCTCCAGGAACGTCCGGTCGAAAGGCCCTTCTGCTCGATCCGAACATGTAGGGTTTAGGGTTTAGGGTTTTTGGTAAGGGCTTACATTTATTTACATTCACTGGGATGTTGGATGATGTTGGTGCTGAGTTTCAAAGTGCTGTCATGGTTTGAATCCTTGGATTTTGGGGTTGTCACACGACATGTAGTTTTGCTGCCGGGACTGTTGAGTTTGGCATTGGAAAGCTCTTGGAGGCTTCGGATGCTTCGGGGAGTTGGAACGAAACTAAGTTTTGAAGCTCCAAGCTACAACAGCAGTCGTCAACAATGAAAACGTGAAGGCTACCTCACAGTTTAAGTTCCCGAACGCTGGTATCTTGAACCTTACATTGAATTGCCAAAGAGCCCTTAGATGAATGTAAAGGGTTTGATCTTTTTCCGCGTAAGCACTGAGCACCAGAACATCACCAAAAATCAACATCAACACCGCAAAAACCGAAGTAGCACACGCGAGCACCCAGCTTCATCAAGCCCCGAACAACGAATCGTCAACGCAACATCATGAGAAGAACCCAGCACCTCCATGCCCATGGCCACAGATGTCTAAGAGATCATGGTGTCTATATTCGTTCATGCTTGCAAGTTTCGGAAAACGTCTTCGTCACGGGGGTCAACTTGTTGAAGGAACCTGTGCTGCGGTGGCTGCGGTGTAGTTCTTATATATCAGTTACAGGGCCCTGTAATAACGTCGGGCTCGGTTCGGACCAATCATGCACTAATCAATCACAGGAATTGAAAGTAGCTGCGATTGTTTGAGGGCCCGGCAAAAAGATGGGCACGTGGTCATTCCCCCCCTTACATCTCAGTATCTTCTATCCCCCGTAATCGCAAATTGCGCGGAAATGTACACATTGCAACAAGTAGGAGGGGAGAAATTTTAGAACTGGTAAAACTAAACGTTTCAGTATAAACATAAAAAGATGGTGCAATATACAAACAAAGAATGACATAGCACAACAGGGATTGATCTGACATTAGAGTATAGACATGATACGATTAAGCAGGATCAGGCAACACATGGCGGAATACTAATTCGAAGTATGGTAGAATTAGAAACCCAGATATTTCAATACGCGTGAAAGATTTTTCGGTACACAGACAGTAAAGGGCATATGACAAAAGATGTTTGTGAAATGTTGTGTTTCGCGCAACCCAAGGACACACGACAGAATGTAAATTAAGATGATGACAGAATGCAATATTTTTATCAATACAGTATGTCGCTTCATTCTATAGAACTTTGGTTTAAACTGGTGAAGGATCGTATACAGTATAGTATCATATAGCACATTCCATGATAAGGCATAATATGCTCGAACGCAACATGAGGTGATCTGGCACGGTGCAGTAAGCCTTTTGATATGATGCAATATGCAAAAATAAGATGGTTAAAACCCACGTGCATATTCTTTTTGACACAATACAGTGAAATTTTGCTTTTATGCACGTTGTAACGGCATTTCACACATGACGCTGGTAGAGAGTAGCATAGTTTTGTAGAGCAGAGTATAGTAAAGTGTATACTGTTTTTTGTATTATAGAACCTAGCATACAGTACAGCACAGAATAAAATATATAGCATTGTATACAATATAGTATGTGGTATAGTATGTATCCTCGAGTTCATAGTGTAAAATGTAATATGATATCAGTGTAATGTGTAGCCGTAATAGGATAGGGGAGAAACGCATATAATGAACAACATGAAAGAAAACAACAACATAGTCACGAATTCAAGACCCTACTGAGTCCTACTGGCTTTCTTTTGACTCTTGACGACCTTGGTGAACCGAACTGGGCATCAATTTAGCGATAGACACGCAGGCTGTGGAGTTGGCGCAATCGTGCCATCAGATTGTGGATGAAAACTCCCTGTTGGCATGTTCTTGCCGATTCTTAGAGCAGATACGATGTGTGGTGTTGTCATTGATGATTTTGTCGCGCTTGGCAAGGGGCCTCGAAACCAAGGCAATGCGAAGGATGCCGAGTTCGTCAGCATTCTGGGGAGCTCAGGTTGATGGGCGACGCGGTGTGGTAAGAGCAAGTGGCAGTGACAACGTCGCGAGCAGAAAACTTGACATTGTCAAGTGGCAGTGACAACGTCGCGCAGCACAAAACTTCACATTGTCAAGTGGCATGCGACGGCACGGGGATTTTGACGTTCAAGAGGTACAGTGCTTGGTTTGAGCTCAAAATCCACACAACAAGCCACAAATTTGTCTACATGTGACAAAAGTCCCCGATGTCGTTTGTTGAGGCATAGAGGTCCTCATGTGGCAGCAGCAGTATCTTGCTGATCATGTCCCCTGCTCCGAGAGTCCTAATGAAACTCCCAGGTGGTGCTTCTTCTAGCAGATTATGGGGTCTGGAATCGAGTGTTATCCTATCGATCGAGCTCGAGCGATTTCAATACTGCTAAGATTCCGGCTTCGAAGCCCACCTGATTTGATCTGGAGGAACAAGCTTAATGCGATGGCTTTTGTCAAGCAGTTCGAAAAGCTGAAGCCGTTCTTCTGCACACGCACGCGTGGGATAGTTCCTTTGACTCCTCTGGCAACATAGCTGCTACTCTGGCTCTTTTGCTGCTGTGCTGTGATATGCGAAGAATTTCTGAGCTCATCGATGGTGCGCTCGAAGTCCTCAAGCTTGCCCGCAGTCCTTCCCATGTCCACGGGATCGAGAACGCCCAGCTCAAAAACCAGGCGTCGAGGAAACACTTGATTCTGTGAACCTGTTCCCACTCCCTGCACAAAGTTTGCGCCCTGGCAGACAAAGATCAGGTGCCCGAAGCGGCCGCCCCAGATCCGGAAGTCCAGGATGATCGGGCCAGGATTCACCTGTAGAAGAAAAGCCGCGAGCTCCACTGCACTGGCCTCCGAACCAGGAACATGCCGAAGAGGACGAGACACACACACACACACATGCGGACTCTTGCGTGGTACACGCTGCCAGAAATGGACCCGGATGGCAGAGGGTCGCTGTGGCTGTCGTGAAAGCACATTTCCCTGCCGAAATGGACTCCAACCAGGAGGGGGAAGAAGCAATTCTGTGAGAGTAGAGTCACCACCGTCGCATGGGGCTCACACATGTCCGCGTTCCTGCTGTAGAGAGACTGACGCATTTGGTGAATGCTGCTAGAAATGGATCCGGATCGAAGGGTCGCTGTGGCTGTCGTGAGAGCTCAGGCCGGCACAATCCGGTATGCCCGTAGGCCATACCAGACAGAAGCCTGACAGAGCCTGCCCTTGATGTGCCTAGTTGTGTAGGCTAGGGTAGGATTGCAGGAGCTGCGCCGCACAACGAAGGGCTGACTCTGAAGCAGTCGTTTTGATGCTGGCACTTCCATGCTGGCACTTGCACATAGGCTATACTTTAGAGGTAATCGGCAGCGATCCTGCATGGGACTCGCAATCTCTCCAAGAGTTACCGCACGAGGGGCACAGAAGGAAATGAAGTAACAGTCTTTCCTACGTCCTAGTACAATATGATTAAACCGGCAGTGATCCTTGTGAGAGTGGTTCAACCCCCACCACACATCAACATACCCGGAAATGGACCCGGGTGCATTTCCAGCCCAACCCCCACTACCCCACCCCCCTTAAGGGGGGGTATGCCACGCTTTTACTTGACCATCGTCAATTTACAACTTTATTTCGTGGATGGATGCAGTCAAGCAAGAGCCAAGAGCTGGCTGAAAAGGCTGGACATTGTTGCACTTCGACTATCTGCCGGACCGTTTTGATGTACTTGTTGGCGAGAGCATCACACAAGATAAAGTATTCAAGCATTAGCGACAAGCCACGAAGACAGCTAGAGGTCTTTCCGAAATCAGGCAGCAACACCGGATATTGCCTTAAAGAAGCCTTGCTTGCCGCAATACGATAAGAAGGGTACCGCGGTATAGCATGGTATGGTATGGTATATTATCTTTCCTAAGCATCCAGCCGAGGGCTGAACCCGGCGTCGATCTTCAGCAGGGCTTGTGGCACAGGTATTTCCGAAGGACTCGTCGATACGCAACGCAACAAACTCTACATGCTTTCACCAACGGCCTACAGTATTGGTTTGCATGCAAACCCAACTCGACATAAGGAGGAAGCTTTCCGCGGACGGCACAATATTGTACTAGACCATATTACTGTAGTGTATTTCATGTTGTATCGGAGATTTCAATCATTAGGTTACATTATGACCAGGTATTAGACAGTATACATGTCACATATTGTTTGTTATGTATGTTTTGTTGGGCGTTGCAACGTTATGTTCTGGTGAGCTGCGTTGTAGTACAGTACCGCGGAGTGCATCGGACAGCTTCTGTCGGCATGTGCCGGAGCTTACTCGGCTGCCTCGTCGGCTGTGTGCTTGCCGCCGTGCAAGGAAAGTTTGACTCACGCGGCCCTCACGTGCAGTGGAGCCCGCCCCGGTACTTTACTCCGAGCTTCGGGCCGCTTACGCTTTTTTTGGCGTGGGCGGGCCTCCTCGACTACGGCTGTAGCACTCGGTCCCAGTAAGAAGTGAAAGTAGACAAGAAGACAAAGAAGAACTGTACAAAAAGATCCTAAGGGTGAAACAGGTCGCGACTTGCAGACTTGACTTAGCCAGCAGGGATCGTTCGACCTTTTAAGTATAGCGTCGCTCAGTTGGCCTTCTCCGAAGCGGGAACAAGCTTCCCGGAGGGAGGGCATCGCAGAGGTTAGGCAGGATAGGAGGAGGCCATGCCCAGCTTCCCATCATGTGGGTATCGCAAGGGCCAGAGACGAGGTAGCGTTGCAACCAAGCCGGAGTCACGAGCTCAACGTCGACGTGTAATGGGCGCGCATCTCCCCAAATTGGTTGATTGCTCAACGGGCCAGCCCAGCTTCCCACTTGGGTATCGCAAGGGCTACGCACAATAGCGCAACACGTCGCGTGCATTGAACCAAGGCTAGCTGTCCGCCGGACATGGCTTTCCAGTGGAAAGCCATGTCCGGCGGACAGCTAGCCAGTGCAGAAGTTGAAGGTGATCAGACGGGAAACCACGGTGCAGTCCATTAGGCCCGCTTCGCAGGAGTGGGTGCCGCAAGGGCCAATCGTAGGATACCAGTTGCCTAGCACCGTCCGGCACTCCACCAAGACAAGTGTCGCTCAAAGAAAGCTAAGCCTGAACCTTGGCAGCAAAAATACTGAGAACCGGTAGCGCCAAAGAACAAAGAAGTAAGCGGGGCCATCCAGCTCTTTCAATCCAGGTTGAGCTTCCCGGAGGGAGGCGTCGCCGAGGTCAAGCTGGAATAGCCGGAGGCACTGCCCAGCTTCCCATCATGTGGGCATCGCAAGGGCCACAGACGCTGTGCACTCCTCCATGCAATTTGGCTGATTGCACAACGGGCCAGCCCAGCTTCCCACTTGGGTATCGCAAGGGCTATGCACAAGAGCGCATCACTTCGAGCGCGTGACCCAGCTCTAGTTGTCCGCCGTCCATGGCTTCCCAGCGTAGACATCGCAGAAGGTGATCGGACGATCCGCAACGGTGCAGACCGATGAGCCCAGCTTCCCAAGAGTGGGTATCGCAAGGGCCGATCGTAAGACAATGCCCAGCTTCCCACCATGTGGGTATCGCAAGGGCGTCACGCCCACGCCCAATGGTTGGTGTGGGCGCATATCCGCTTGCCTGCAATGGAGTGTGGTGGCTTGTTAGGCTGAGCGCCAGGCAATGGACAAGTCGCGTCAGCACGTCGCTTCGTGGCAGACCCAGGGGGCCAGCGGTCCCGGAAGAGTCTCCGTAGCCTCGTCTGGCTTCCCACCGCGGCGGGTGTCGCAAGGGCATGGCCAAGAAGGGCTACAATCCACACGATCCTCATTGTTGCGTACCTGCATCGGCGGCCGCAGCCGCGTAAGTGGCAGCGCACACTCTGGCTCCATGGAGAAATACGGTACCCCCCACAGACCTGGACACGCAAAGGACCAGGGTTGCAACTCGATGAGCGCGGATTGCAGGTCAGCCATGCGTACGAAGTTGGCCCCCCGGTAGAGACACTGGACCACCCTGTATGTCGAGCGGGACACGGAGGCGATGATAACAACGAGCTCCAGGTCAAGCTGCACAATAGTGGTGCGTATTTGAACTCCAAGTCGCGCCGCCACTTGGAAATCATTCGACGCTTGGAAACTGTAGAGGTTGAGCGTCGCCAAATAGGCTGTAACCCGGCCGTGGAATTCCGCATATAGCTGTCTGAGCACCTGGGCAGCTGCTCTGCGCTCTTGGGATCCAATGGCACGCATTATCTGCCTGGTGGCAGCAGACGGCAGGGCTCCAAAGAGCACTGGTATTGCCTGAACCGTGGCTCGAAGGACCACCTGCGCCACAAGATGATCCGGCAGTGTGGCCATGGCAAACCTACTAAGCCAGGCAGCTAGTACCGGGTTCACGCCCGTAGCCGAATGGCCAGGACGGGGCAAGGGGTCTGAGCCAAGAAGCGTCCCACCACTGCTCTGTATCCGCGTATCCTGGGCACCTCATCCCCTTAGTGCAAGGCGGATGTGCGGATTGCGCTCCCAAAAGAACCTGCTGAAGTAAGCCGAATCATCCATATGGATGTCGTTGAGACTGTAGAGGAACGTCCAATCTCTCGCGTCTTGGCGCTTTTTCAGTTACTGCGCGGTGTAGTAGTAGGTAGGCGATTTTTTGTGGTAACTGGGGACCAGTCGGAAGCCCAAGAACTTATAACTCAGGCCACCCGCCAGTCCTCCCAAGGCCACAAACTGCCTGGCAGCAGCAACCAAGTCATCAATACGTAGATCGCGTCCGAGAGTGTGGGGCGGGTAGTTGCTGGGGAGGCCCATGGGGACATCTGCGAAGTTCCGTCTAATGATCTCTGCATGCCGGCCCTTCACGGTATGACTTCCCAGCAAATAGAAGCGCTCTGGGTAGTACATGGTGATCCTTTTGGGCCCAGGCAACCAAACCGCTAGCGCGGCACGAAGGTCGTAACCATCTTGACGCGTCCATTGTCGAACGATGGCCAAGGCACCTGACAGTAGTCCGGCAGGCTGCAGGCTGAGTGCCGCCGCCGGTTTGAGCCCCAAGGCCTCCTCAGAGAGCAGGAGGTAGATGCGAAAACGTCCCTGATAGATCGCTGGATGAGTGAAGATGTCCGGGTTCACACAGGGATGGTGAAGCGCAACCACACCATTCTCCCACTTATGTCGTATACGGGCCCCAATTTGTAATTGCAGCGGGCAGATATCTTCCGCCGAGAATGTGGCTGCGAGCCGTATCCCGAGCTGTCCCTGACGACCTTCGTCTGCGGCTTGCTCGTCACTGTCCCGGAAGGCTCCTATCACTTCCAAATGCGGATAGTCTTGTGGCTGATCGACTAGTCGGCGCACCACAAGCAAGAGGACCTGGATGGGGAGTAGGGCACTGCAATACTGGAGTGGGGAAATACGTCTGCCGGGGCCCCCAAGGGCCATGACAATGAAGCTACCATCCCTGGCCATAGTGGTGTCCAACGTGGCCTGATCGGCGTGCTGCCACTGAGCAACAATCTCATCGATTAATCCCTTCCCCCTAATATTAAATGGTCGGCCCCCCCCCTTCGCCCTAAATAAAAACTCGAGAATGTTTTTATAATTAGGGTCCCATTGTTATCTCAACTGCCAGAAACACAGGTTCTACAAGTAATTAAATGATGAAAATGATGACGATGAAAATGATGATGACGATTACGGTGATGCTTGTTATGATGAAGATGGCGGCAGTGGTGGTGATGGTAATGATGACGATGATCATGGTCCAGGAGAAGAACATGATGATGATGAAGAACATGATGATGATGTTGTTGTTGATGATAGCGATGCTTCATGGTTGCACTAGTGCAGAAGAGCACATGTGGTGAATGCCAGAAGCTTGGAAATAAAATGATAATTAATTAAATATGATAGGAACTAATTAATTAATGATGTTCCAAGCTTCTGGCATTCGCTGCAAGTGCTTTGCTTCTGAGAGTTCTGTCAGCAATCTGCCCGCTCCGCCACAGACAGGCAGCCTCAAGAAGAGGCCTTTGTGCCTTGGGAACAACAGGCTGTCGACACTCACACACACACACACACTCACACACACACGCACACTCACACTCAAGCACAGACAGACCCACCGGAGCACTCAAACACAGACACTCACGCACACTCACCTCGGAGGCAGACAGGAGTGTGAGGGCTTCGCCGCCATGGGCGGTGTGTGAGTCCTTCGGCTCGCCATGGGCGGCGAGGAAGCCCCCGAGAAGGCGGGATCTTTTCTAATCTCCCGTCTTAGTAATCACATAAAAATGACAGGCCGTGGAATCGAGCCCCGGCACTATCCATTGAGGGTGTAGCACTACCCCCCCGGCTATCCTGTAGCATGTCAAGGTAGTTCAATTCTAACCCTTAGGAGATGATCACGACCACGATTCGCGGGTGCCATTGCAGTAATTACTGACAGCAAAATCAAATTTTGGTGCAGTGGTTAAGGATTTGCCCCGATGCCCAGAAATTCTGGGAATTGCCATGTGTAAGGTCGGCCGCTAAAAACCTAGCCGGCAGGGTTTTCATGGTCTAGTGGTTAACGTCGTGCCTGCCAGGAGCTGGAAGGCTGCCCGACAGATCCTGGGCAGCAGGGACGAGCGACAAGGGCATCTTCGGTAACAGGGTGGATTGTGCTTTGGAGTAATTATTGGAGGTGCTTTCCGAAGGATGCTGCATGGACTGTAGAATCATACACTGAACAGAGGACCCCATGGTCTAATGGATAAGGCGCTCTGTGGGTAACCCACGGAAAGATGGGTGGTTCGAGTCCCCCTGGGGTTGTTCTCATGCCAAATCGCAGTACAAGCTTAATTAGTACTGGAACCGCATCGTTCCCAACCCTGTGCGGCAGGGTCCCGGTAGCGTAGTGGTTAGTACATCCTCCCTTGACCCTACCAAGCAGGGAGTCCCCAGCGGGCCACTAAGAGGCCAACGCGGCCGGGCCATTTCTGACCATTGGAGGTGTTAGCCGCTGCTCTTTGTATTTTGTTGTAGGCTAAAGTTCAGGGCTGTAGGCAACCCTAAGCCCTTGCTTGGAAGCTTGTCCTGGCTGACTGGAAGCTGCCTTGAAGTGGACTCTGTTCTGAAGAAGCTGCCCATGGAGAACGACCTGATGTGGCGGCCACTCATCTGTGCAAGAGCAAAAAGCACTCACAGAGCCGGATCCGGCAGACCATGTGGACACTGGCAAATAATCCACAAGTGACAGGGAGACTGGCGACAACTGCAACTCACCGAGAACTCCCCTCGGGCTGCGTCTTTTTTGGGTGGTTTTGGCTGAAACTTGCTGAGTCTACTGGCTGATGCCTGCTGATGCTGGATGAACTGGCTGGCTGCGACTTGCTCATATTCTCAGTACTGGAAGTGTCTCCTGTCCGATGCTGGCTGGATGGTGCTCAATTGTAGTACAAGCTTAGTACTGGAAGAGCCTCGTCTCGGATGCTGTCGGGATGATGTCGGTGCTAGAAGTGTCTCCTGTCCGATGCTGGCTGGATGGTGCTCAATTGTAGTACAAGCTTAGTACTGGAAGAGCCTCGTCTCGGATGCTGTCGGGATGATGTCGGTGCTAGAAGTGTCTCCTGTCCGATGCTGGCTGGATGGTGCTCAATTGTAGTACAAGCTTAGTACTGGAAGAGCCTCGTCTCGGATGCTGTCGGGATGATGTCGGTGCTAGAAGTGTCTCCTGTCCGATGCTGGCTGGATGGTGCTCAATTGTAGTACAAGCTTAGTACTGGAAGAGCCTCGTCTCGGATGCTGTCGGGATGATGTCGGTGCTAGAAGTGTCTCCTGTCCGATGCTGGCTGGATGGTGCTCAATTGTAGTACAAGCTTAGTACTGGAAGAGCCTCGTCTCGGATGCTGTCGGGATGATGTCGGTGCTAGAAGTGTCTCCTGTCCGATGCTGGCTGGATGGTGCTCAATTGTAGTACAAGCTTAGTACTGGAAGAGCCTCGTCTCGGATGCTGTCGGGATGATGTCGGTGCTAGAAGTGTCTCCTGTCCGATGCTGGCTGGATGGTGCTCAATTGTAGTACAAGCTTAGTACTGGAAGAGCCTCGTCTCGGATGCTGTCGGGATGATGTCGGTGCTAGAAGTGTCTCCTGTCCGATGCTGGCTGGATGGTGCTCAATTGTAGTACAAGCTTAGTACTGGAAGAGCCTCGTCTCGGATGCTGTCGGGATGATGTCGGTGCTAGAAGTGTCTCCTGTCCGATGCTGGCTGGATGGTGCTCAATTGTAGTACAAGCTTAGTACTGGAAGAGCCTCGTTTGGATGGTGCTGGCATGTTTCTTCTGATTGTTTCTTTTTTTCCCAAACGTGCAGGCCAAGCTGCGAGCCGCTTTGGAGAATGCTTTGGCCGAGCTAGACAAGGCGCAGGGGTGCTGATGAATGAATTGACCGAATTGCTCTAAACATCAGGACGACGAGAGGGAAGCCAAAAGAAGGAAGACAGCCAAGACAGTAGAGGTAGTTGACTTGAGCAAGGAAGAACCACAGGTAGTTGACTTGAGCGAACCACAGGCAGTGGTTTGCAGGCAGAGCAGCCAAGACAGCCTAGACAGCAGCCAGACAGCTAGAGGAGTCAAGAGGCAGGCCAGCTTTCACACACCTTCGCCGAAGAAGCGTCTGTTCAGTCCTGACAGCAAGGGTGGAGACAGCCAGAGCCGAGGCAGCCAGAGCCCAGGCAGCCAGAGCCCGGGCAGCCAGAGCCCAGACAGCAACCCTGTGCAAATGAGAAAGATAGAACAGCTCAAAAAGACCTTAGGCCAAGGCAGTCCAGTCTACTTCAGGCTAGACTACCTTTGGGGCAAGGCAGCAGAGGCATTTCGCCAGACACAGCTAGTGACAGACAGAAACAGCAGCAAGCTGAGAACTTGCAAAACCTGCAGCAGAAAGCCAGCCAAGCAGTGGAAAAGCTCGGACTGGAGCCAGCTCTTGGAGTTCTTAAAAAGAGACGGGGAGGCAGACCGCTAGGCAGTAAGCAGAAGACGAAAGCGGTGCCGCATCTTCGCAAGAAGCGATGTGATGTGACAGCCAGAGCCAAGCTTTCCATCATGGAAGAGTTAGACAGAGCAGCCGTAGAGCACAAAAGCAAAAGTGCAGCCAGGCAGCATGTCATGAGGCAGTATGGTGTGAGCGCGTCTTTTTGCTTCAACCTGCAAAAAGACTATCACAGACAGAAAGTCACTAACTTTCTCGCCAGCACGGGGCGAGGACACAGTGCCAGACAGACAGGCAGCCATTTGGGTCTCGTGCACCTCGTCAGCAAGTCAACAGGCAGGAGACTGGCTGACCCAGGCAAAGTGCTGGGTAGGCCAGACTTTCTCCAGCCAGTCTGGTCTGAGACCCGTGCTTGGGCCTTGAATGAGGAAGCCAGCCAGCACGTCCTGACGAGCACAGACCTGCTGATGGACTTCGAAGAAAGGCTCGACAAAGCCATTGCAGTCAGGCAGGCAGAACAGGAAAAGGGTCTTCTTGACCAGACAGGTGAGAAGGAGCTGGCAGCCATGGTGCAAAAGAAAGACTCGCTAGCCAACAAGCCAAAGCAGAGGAGCAAGTACCAGGTCCTGCTCCTCGCAAAGTGCGGTCTTCGAAACAGATCTTGCCAACAGACAGCCAACCTGAGCAAGGAGGATGAGAAAGCCAGGCTAGACTTGTCCTGGCGACTTTGGGACTTGCTTTTGGAACAGGCAGCCAGTCCCACGCCACAGTCGGACTTGCCTGTAGCAAGCCCAGAGCAGTGGACGATAAAGCGAGCAGAGACAGCCATCACCATGTCAGATCAAGTACCTGCTTGGCTCAAGCCAACGCCAGGGAAGGCGTTGACATCGGTGGTGCGCTTGAAGCTAGCCAGCGAGCAAAGCAAGGCCAGGCGAGAGAACAGGAAAGCACAAACACAGGCAAAGGCCAAACCTGAGGCCAAAGCCAAGGCCGCACCTTGGCGGTTTTGTTGGGTGGATTCGAAGTGGACTTTCGGGTTTAGGGTTTCCTTAAACCCGAAACCCAAAAGCCAAAGCTTAAACCTTCATGCACCTTCATGCTTTCGAAACCAACCGAGGCACCGAGGCTGGCATGTGCTTCTCGAGCCCCAGGTGTGGCAGCAAGGTGGCGAATCAGCTTGGTAGCTAGACAGGCAGTGCAGAACTTCTTTGCGCCAGACAGACAGCCAGTGGGTGTCGTTATGCCCACGATACTTGTCACATACGGCAAACACTGCAGACTTGAAAACATCAGCCAGGAAGGCACGTGGATCAAGTCCGAGTGCTTCCAGGTAGGCAGCAAGACAGTCAGGAGAAGGGCAGGCCAGCGAGTGCCAGGACAGGTCATGCGCACTTGGCGCAAACTGCGACAGACCCAGCCACACCTGTTTGATGGCAGTGTCAGGGTGTGGTGCCAGCCAGCCGCAGTGGTAGATAGCGTGATTTACAGATGGCAGCTAGAGCTCGAGTCAGAAGAGCACAGCCAGGCAGTGCAGCTCGTCGATATGTTCGGCGGAGCATGGACGACGGAGTCCATGCACGCCGCTGCACTCCTGCAGCGAGCTCAGACAGGCATTGCAGCCGGGTGCACCGGCTTGACCCAGGTGACAGACATCGGGTTCGCCCAGCCAGCCAAGGCAGCTCTCAAAAGGTGGCAGGAAGACTTGAAGCAGCGCATGCGAGAGAAAGCCAGACAGCAAAAGGTGCAGTGCACCTATAAGACAGGCCCGGCAGACATTCTGGAGGCAGCTAGACAGATGCACGCCAGGATGGTGCAGTTGAATGAGACAGTGAAGGCAGGCTTCAGGACTGTGGCAGCCAGAAATGGTGTCTGGACTTCCCTGAAGGCAATGCCAAGCTAGGCAGCGACCACCTCAGAGACAGGTCTCGTTGGGTGGACAAGACAGGCAAGGTGCTTCCGTGGACAGAGGCAGACAGCAAGACATTTGATGAATCCAATGCATTCGAACCCGAGGCTACGTACCTGCTTGGCCAGACAGACATACACTTGAGCTTCCGAGCGAAGCCCAATCTCCTTGCTCAGTCAGAAAGAGAGCTCAGAGAGGTCATTCTGAGACAGGTCCACCCGAACGAGAGGAGACGGCTTTTCCAGGAACAGGTGGACCAGACAACAAGCCAGACAAAGACTGAGAAGCAGCAGAAAAAGGAAAAAAGGATCAAGAACGCGAAGCAAGACAGAAAAAGGCGCAAACTTTTGAAAGAATGGAGACAGCAGCATGCCAACAAGACAAAGAAGCAGGCTCTCCTGTCTGTCGTGCCCAAGTGGGCCAGAAAAAGGCCAAGAAGAAGGCCTCCAAAGGCGACAAGAAGCCCAGCGAGGTGAAGAAGCAGCAGAAGAAAGACCAGGCGAAGAAGGCTCAAAGACGGGCAGCCGAGCCAGGCAGCGAGGGACACTTGCATGGCAAGCAAGCTCGAGTGATCGGTGACCTGGCTCCGCAGACGCTGCTGGGCAAGATCGTGGTGTGTGGAAAGCAGACAGACAGCCAAGTCCTGATCAATGCTGATGGACTTCATGAATGGGTCAGCCACACAGACATTACGCTGGAAGTCAGAGACAGACAGTTTCCGCTGGTTTTGGATTTTGAGTCTTTCCCCAGTGCTGCAGCCAGTGAGGAAGCGGCAGCCAGTGCAAAAGATTTGCGGCTTTACAAGCACGAAGAGCTGCTGACAGACAGCCAGCTCGAAGCTGGCATCAGGGAGATGTCATACCGATTCTCCCATGGAGCAGAGCCAGCCAGCCTGTGTGTTTTACGGCCAGCAGAGGCCAAGCAACTTATCCAGACACATGCACTCAAGGCAGCAGCAAAGACAGCCATGGACAGCCAGGCTGGTTTGGTCTTGGCAGTCGTGCAAAGCCAGCCTCCGAGACACTGGTCCTTGCTGGTGGTCGAGACAGTCAGAGACAGCCCCGAAGCGAAGGTCAGGTACTATGACACGTTGCCCGGTGAGGCAGCCTATAAGGAAGCCAGTGCAGTTTTGAAGGTGCTGCTGCAGACAGCCAAGAAACAGGCCCAGCCTTTGCCTGCGCCAGTCAGTCTGCTCAGACAGACAGACGGCTTCTCCTGCGGCCTCTGGGTCTTGCTGTATATGGAGCAGGAGTGGCGGCGGTGGATGGGTGAGGCCCCGCAGCCACTTTTGAAAGACCTGCCAGCCAGAAGCAGCCAGCTGAACCGCTGGATTCAGCTGCTGCTGCGAGGCAAAGAGCTAGCCAGACAGAAAGAGAGTCAGCAGCAAGACAGCCAGACAGCAGGAGACACCATCGTTTTTGGCTGTGCCCACTGCAGTTTTGCTCTGAGTGGCTGCCTTCGCTGCAACAGAACGCAGTTTTTGAAGTATATGAGTAGCCAGGCACACAAACAGGCAGAGGAGGCAGCAAAGGCACCCAAGGCCAAGGCCACGACCAAGGCCAAAGCAAAGGCGAAGGCTCTTGGAAAGCCAGGCAGCTCAGGAGCCATCTCGTGCACAACTATTTAAATAATGAATTACATCTCGAGTTTGAAATATAACTAAAAAATTAATTACAGTAATTACTGCTTCGTACTGGATGTGCCTTGCTTCGCATGCTGGCTGGATTGTGCCAAATCGTAGTACAAGCTTAGTACTGGATGTGCCTCGCTTCGCATGCTGGCTGGATTGTGCCAAATCGTAGTACATGGATGTGCCTCGCAGAATTGACTAGAAGTGCGGTAACTGGCAGTAGTGCAGCAACTGGCAGCAATGTGGTAATTGGCAGTTGTGCAGTAATTACTCGGCAGCAGTGCAGCAATGACCAGTAATTAATTAGTGCAGTACTTGGCAGTAATTAATTAGTGCAGTACTTGGCAGCAGTGCAGCAATGACCAGTAATTAGTGCAGTATTGGCAGTAGTGCAGTACTCGGCAGCAGTACAGTGATGATCCGTGGTGCAGTATTCTGCAGCAAACTGGCAGTACTCATCAACGCAGAGTGCCCAGAGCTTTTGGTCACCCAAAGTCTCGGTGCCCAAAGGTTTTGGTCACACAAAGTCTCGATTCCAGGCGGGGAAGGGCCCAAATGACGCCCCCGGGGATTGAACCAGGAACCATCTCCGCAGCGATGTCGTGAGCTCTCCGCCCACCCGTTAGGCTATGAAAGGATAGGAGCGGAGACGGCGATGACCCCATCTGCAGTCACGGAGAGATCACAATAGTCGCAGCCCGGTGGGGTCTCCGGTGAGTGTTCCGAGTCGCCACCCCCTTTTGCTGAGCCTCCCAGTGCCGACTGTAGTGAGGCTTGCCCTGTGGCTTCGGGTTTCTGAGCTTGATGTGAAGCTTCTTGTGCTGGCCGGTCACCTTGCTGTGCAGTTCAATCTCCGCTGCTGTGTACACCAGCTCCAGCTCCAAGCCCATGCTGGGCAATCGATGCCAATCTTCCAGCTGCAGCTCCAGAGGGTTCTACAGAGGGAGGGGTTTAGCCCTGAACTTTAGCCTACACCAAAAAACAGGAGCAGTTGCTAGCACCTCCAATGGTGGCCGCTGGACCCAGTGAGTCAAAATCAATTTTGGCTCAGTGGTTAAGGATTGGGCTTTGTTGCCCGAGCCAGAGATCAGAAGAATTACCTTTACGGGTAGATCAGCGCAAACCGCGGGGAAGTAGGGTTTTGATGGTCTTGTGGTTAAGACTGGCGGGGCCTACTTGCCTTGTTTCGCATGCTGGCTGGATTGTGCCAAATCGTAGTACAAGCTTAGTACTGGATGTTCCTCGTTTCGCCAGCAGGCTGGATTGTGGTTGATCGTAGTACAAGCTTAGTACTGGAAATGCATCGAATCGCATGCTGGGCAGGATGGTGCTGGATTGTAGTACGAGCTTAATTCATTCATTGATTCATCAATTACTCAGACATAATCAGTATCGTCCTTCATGCACCAGATAATTAGTTAGTTTGAGTTTAATTAATTAATCAATTAGTTCTACTTCATTAATTATCTGGATTTCAACATCTCTTATAACTTCCACGGACCGCTCGCACCAGCCGGGAAGGAAAGCTGACTTGAAAGGAAGTCCCGCAGGCAGGACTTCATTTCGGACGCTTGCACAGACAACCAGATCAATCAATTCAGTAAGTTTAATTACCATCCGAGATCCGTCACTTTCCATTCTCAGTCTCCTTTTCCAACGAAACATGCAGGCCGGGTTTGCCGGAAGACAGCCAGCCGAGACGCCTGACAGCCGCTGCAGGCCGACTCTCTTCGATTGTGCAGACACCAGACGGCTTGTTCAGTGATATTAATTATCAAAGATAGACAAGAACGACTTTCCGTCAGAGTTTGTTTCCTGCCGAAAAAAAGCATGCAGGCCGTCCTTTCCTGGGCAGACAGCAAGCCGCCTGACAGACGGTGCAGGCCGAATCCATTGCTGTGTTCGTTTCAGCAGGCAGCCTGTTCAGTCATGCAGGGAGTGCTTTCATTTGCCATTCGACCTGCAAAGCAAGCTGCTCCAATCCAGGCAGCGAGCCTGGAACAGTAAGTAGCAGCACAGGACTTACTTTCAGAACACAGCTAGATGAGAGGCACAGACACACACTGGGCAGCGAGCCTGGAACAGAAAGAACAACACAGGATTTACTTTCAGAACACGGCTAGTTAGCTGAGAAACACACACACACACACACACACACTGACAAGTGGGAGACAGACAAAGGTAGCCAGACAGACAGACAGACAGCCATGGCCTTGCAAGCCCTGGAGTACTTGTGCAAGTTCTCCGACAGCGAGATCCAGACAGCTGGACGCCAGGTAGACAGTGAGAAAGTCCGACGACTGTGTCACAGCTTGGTGGACTGCCTGGCCCAGCGAGTGACACAGACGGACTCAGGGCAGACAGCCGCAGCATCTGCCGCACCTGCAGACAGCCAAGCCAGCCAAGCTGCCCCTCCTCGGAAAAGGAGTGTGAGCAACAAGAGGGGCAAGATCGAGCCTTACAAGACAGACAGCGGTGCCGCTGATGGTGGCCAGCAGGCAGGCCAGGCAGGAAGAGACAAGAGCAGGCCGCCGAACAAGAACAAGCTGCCGAAAGACAGTCAGGCAGACCAGGTAGCGCCACCGCCAGCTCCGCCAGCTCCGCCACAGACGAGCCAGTGGTCTGGGTGGTACAGCCAGAGTCAGAGCAGCCAGTCAAATTGGGGCAGCCAGTCATCGACCAAACCTTGGTGGGAGTGGGAGCGGGAGACAGAAAGCCAGACAAACAGCCCACCAATCCCGTCGACGGGACTGGTTGTGGCGAAAGGCAGACAGATCGGAGGCAGGGGCCGGTACAGCCAGGCGCAGCGCACGCACTTCTGCATTGTGCAATGCCTGAAGTGCAAGGCTGAGCCTTGCAACAAGAGGATGGAGGCAGAGGTCGACGGCCACTGGCCGCACTTCTGCCGTGCCTGCAAGCCCCACGGGGCGCCTGACCCTAAGTGGTAGGGCAGGCAGGCAGGCAGGCAGTGGCCGTCGACCTCTGCCTCCATCCTCTTGTCAGCCAGACAGCAAGGCAGTGGCCGGACAGCTAGACAGACAAGGCAGTGGCCGGACAGCTAGACAGCCAGACAGAGACACACCCTTGCAGGCAAGAAAAAAAATCGCCTTCAGAGTGGGAATCGCTGACTCATCAATCAAGCAGATAGAAGCAGATAGTGATTGTGCCTGTTGGCCAGGCGCCCGCGACTGCCACTCTGCCGCCAGACAGCCGTGTCAGCAGTGTACGGGCCAACAAATAAGCTGTGGCTTCACTTGCTAATTAAGAGTGCTTTGCGAGCAGAGTAATTATTCGGTGGAAACCGTTCCGAACAAAACCTGCCTTAGCCTAAACGGCCCTAAACTCTGTGGGCTCTTCTATTCATGGATGTGCAGCCAAACCTAAACCTTTTGTGGTCAGAGAGAGGGGATTTGCAGTTTGCAGCGAGTCCGTGCCCCGTTTTTCAGAGAGGCAGGCAGTGCTGATTGCTCGCATTGCTCACGTTGTGGAAGCTCGCAGCCAGCAAGCAGCACACGTTGTGGAACCTCGCAGCCAGCAAGCAGCAGACCGGAAAGCCCCTGTGAAGAAGACAGCCAGACCAGCAGGCCGGGCGACTCAAGAAAGCCCTTAAAATTCTTTCACAAAGATGAATGCTGGCAGGCAGTCAGCATGGCCAGCGAGGAAGCAGCAGCAGCCACAGCCAGACAGGCTGATTCGAAACCTTCCTCCTCAACCTAAATCCTAAACCATAATTAATTAATTAATTAATTACAAGGGTTTGGGGTTGTAAAAGGGTTGCTTGAGAGGTTGGAAGGTGATTTCGGGCTCCGAGGCAGCCAGGCAGTGAGTGTGCAAGGCTTCAGGGAGTTCAGGGTTTCTTCGGAGGTTGGAAGGTGGGGTGGGGCTCAGAGGCAGCGAGGCAGTGAGTGCGCGAGGTTTCAGGCAGTTCAGGGCTTCTTCGGAGGTTGGAAGGTGGGGTGGGGCTCAGAGGCAGCGAGGCAGTGAGTGTGCAAGGTTTCAGGGAGTTCAGGGTGTAATTAATTAATTACTTAG